GGGTTTAATATTTTTCCTAGAACTTTTTTTTTTTTTTTTTTTTTTTTTTTAGAAAAAACCCCCCCCCCCCACAAAAAAAAAAAAAAAAAAAAAAAAAAGAGAAAATCTACATTTGAGGCTTAAAGTCAGGGCTGCAAGCCAATCTTTAAAGCTCAATCCCCACCTGTAAAATGGAGGAAAAAGTACTTCAAATTACAGTAATGTTAGTGACAGCAAAGGGCCCAGAAATTATGGTGCTGAAAGCCAAATAATTATCTCGGTACAGAGGCCAAAATTTCTAATATTTCAGACATTTTTAACATATTTTTTGAATTTTAGGCAGTGATTCAGAAGACATCGCAGCCTATGATTCTTATGATTCACAACGTGAGGAACTTGTGAATGGTGAGACTGAAAGTTACAAAACATTCAATACAAGATTACGTGGAGAGATAAAAGGTACAATGATTGCAAAAATATTAACATCTACATAAAAATATTCTTCTTTATAGTGTTTGTTTTTCTAAACAACACGTCTTTGTTTTCAGGACTTAGATGCAGATGTCCTAGAGGAAGCAGAGATCAATTTAAACTCAGGAATTACAAAGAGCCTGTTCAGTCTTGTGCTCTACATAGAAATAAACATTCTGGTTCAACCTGTAAGTATGATGTGTTACTGAAATAATTACCAGTCACAGGCTAGGTTTTAAGGGGCTGAAAGCCACACTGCACATATATCAGGCCAAATTTAATTCAGTATAAGCCATCAGTAGCACTGCAGGTAAACAGTGGATGTGTACAGATCTTGTAGAGCGAGATCAGCAAATGTAACTTTAACACACCTAGCCAAGCTTCATCCCCATGCATCAGAGCTTTAATAGTCTCTGGTTCTTTATGAGAGGAGTCCTTTCCATATTTCATTTATGACAGGAACATCTCATTTTGCAGAGCCACATGGAAGAATATTAAAATTGGGCATTGCTGTGCCAGCTTTTTTAGTCCTAGCTGTTACCTAATGCAGCGCAAACAAGTATACTAAAGAAAATTCCAGCTCTACACTCAAATTGTGACATACAGCAAAATCAAAGCAAGTCAAATTAAAAAAAAAAAAAAGTATGACAGGAACATCTCATTTTGCAGAGCCACATGGAAGAATATTAAAATTGGGCATTGCTGTGCCAGCTTTTTTAGTCCTAGCTGTTACCTAATGCAGCACAAACAAGTATACTAAAGAAGATTCCAGCTCTACACTCAAATTGTGTGACATACAGCAAAATCAAGGCAAGTCAAATTAAAAAAAAAAAAAAAAAAAAAAGAAGTTGTTGACTGTCTAGCTTTTAAAGTTACTTATCTCAGACTCCTCTATACTGTAAAAAGAAATTACACACAGAAAAATAGGAATTTTCAACAGTGGCAAGAAAGTCTAAATTATCTACTTCTCTCTATATATATACTGTATATATACACACACACTGTAAAACTATAAATCAAAGTAGTATTCATACAATTATTAGGATTATGAGAGTCTGATTATTCTTCCCTTCCCCCTGCAGTCTTTCACTGTAAGAAAAAGAATATAAATCTGCATATCATTTGACATAGAACTAAATTCAACAGCAAACTCAAAAAGGTCAATCTGTCCTCATTTGCAAAAAACCTTAAACACATAGACGTTTTATTCAGCAGCGATAGTTACTTGATTTTTTTTTAATTTATGCTAAATAGAGAAAAATGTTAAATATATACAAAATAAATTTTTTTTTGCTTTTGTTTTAAACATGGCCTCAACAACTCCAGCTTATTCACAGAAGAGAATCGCCATTCAAAAGGCTCAAACAAATAAGCAGCCACGTGAACTTGTAAACAGACTTTCTGAAAGGTAAACTGTAGAAATAACTATATGTAGTAAACAGAAAATGCCATTGTTGGAGATTCAGCATGGAAAAAACTCACCAGTATCATAAGCAGGAGCATTGTTTTCTCTTTTGTCGTGCCTGCTGTATATTAGAGCTTTACTTAATGAAATTAGTATCTTTAGCCTAAAAGCAAGTGTAAATAAATCTTACAGTAGTTCTTCAGTCAAATTTAATGAAGAATCAACCTCTGACTTCTTTAGCTATTTAGTGAAAAAAAGAAAATTTTAAAAAAAATATCTTCCTTAATATTAAGGGGCTGTTCCCATTCATTCAAAAGCAGCTCTGAATTATTTAAGAAGCAATTCTGTTTGCTACCAACTATTTCTTTATAAGTAACAACCCTACTTTTAATTGTTGTTAACATTAAATTACACTGGGCGTCTGAGAAGTAAATGGATTCTTAACTATAGCACAGACTAGACTTTCTTTATAAGTAACAATCCTACTTTTAATTGTTGTTAACATTAATTTACACTGGGAGTCTGGGAAGTAAAATGGATTCTTAACTATAGCACAGACTAGACTGACACTCAGACAAGTTTTGTTGCTATAGTTTTTGACAGAATTACTCAATAGCAGTAACTGCCTGGCAGCACAGCAGCTGCCCTTGAGAATCAACGGTACCAACCACCCTGTCAGAGAAGGCTAGAGCACCAAGAACTTGACCCTATTGCAAGAGATTTCCTGAGTCTGCATCCAGGAATGTTTTGTCTTACTGCAATACAGACATAACCTAAATTATGATGGACAATTAAATGAAAATTTTTCCTTACTGTAAAATTAACTTGCAACTGCATGTGCTATCAAGCTGTATATATTTAATTCATAGATTGGAACTTCTTTTGCTGACTAAAATTGTTTGTATTTTATTCTTTATATCTTATCTTTAGGCAAAACTTTGAGGCTGCCAAAACCTGCTATTCAAGCACCCATGATAATTTTATCCTTTCACATCAATACTTACCCAGCAAGAAGTGTGCCCGAAGCAAATCTGCCATCAGCATCAGACACAGAAATGCCAACGATTCCAATGCAAATGTAAGACTTAAGAGTGAAAAATTAAAAGCCACACAACTATCTCGGGAGTGTACGTCTGCACATCATGGCACTGTTGAACATCCCCATTCTTGGCAAGTTGATTATTACGATCTAAGCACACTGGTCCATTTGAGGATAAGACAGGACAAAGTTAAAAAAACAAGTGTTTTAGCTTATAATATTAGTATATTAATTTATATGAGTACGTTAAAGACTTTTTATGCAACTTAGTAGCAAGTTGATTATTACAATCTAAGCACACTAGTCCATTTGAGGATAAGACAGGAGGAAGTTAAAAAAACAAGTGTTTTAGCTTATAATATTAGTATATTATTTCATAGTACGTTAAAGACTTTTTATGCAACTTAGTCCCTGTATAAATGGTGAAAGGGACAGAGAAGGAGCCCTGGATCTTAACTCTGGAATTATGTTTCACATACTGAAACAAAGAATGTCACCCTAGCCACACAAACCACTATCGTATCCAAAAGAAAGCCTCCTCAATACAACAAACATACATCACACTGGAGCTGCTACTTTAGAAAGGTGTAAATATCCCTCAGTTCACAGGATTACAAAATTAAAGAGAGAAATAGGTAAGATTCTTCCAACTTGAATCCTGGAACAGTAAATCACATGGCTCAGAATTTTTACTTCTCAACGTGTATTCAGAGTGAAAATGCTACATAAAACATTAATTAAACATCCCTTTCTATTCTATACCTCTGTGAACATTTGCCTTCAGTATTAACAAGGCTATATTTTATTATTCCCAACAGATTTTAAGTTCTACTCTGGATCATGCCCTACACACAGCGAACATTTTGAAGAAAGCTACAGAACGAATGGTACGAGCAGTTTCAGAAGATCTAGCTAAAGTTAAAAGGAAACAGCTTTAATTACCCAGTTTCAAAGGTTATATTGTTTTGTTGGTTGATACTGAAGTGTCATTATTTCTGAAAATATGAAATGAGAAAAAAATATTAGAAAGTCAGCTAGCTGACTTTGCCAGTTCTTCTGTAACTATCAATACTAATCTCAACCAGAGCATACTGGTATTCCACATGTTTACGCTCAGTCTCAGAACTAGAAAGCAAGTTACTAGTTCCACTGAAGGTCTTTAGTATGTTCTCTAACCCCTGTTAGTGTGTACAACTACCTTCTCTAAGTATTCACTGAAGATGCCTTAATAAAAATCAGTTTAAACAAGCAAGGTTAACTTTCCTACTTCTGATTTCTCCCCACCCCCAAACAGGAGAATAAGTCTTAGTTATTACTACATACATTTTCTTCCCACACATAACAACAGCTGCTTAAGCACAAACAACAAACAGAAACAGCCTCTGCACCCAAGACATCTATAAGCATCATAGTGATGTACCAAGTCATAGTTAACATGTAATTATTTTGTTTCTAGAGTGCCCTACATAAGGAGCTGTTTTTAAGGTAGTTACTGCGACATGCAAGGAAGTGAGTAGGACCATTTGTTGACTATATATTCTTAACAATTTAGTTGTCTGTTTCTTCAATGCAGCATCCTTACCTTATCAGATCTATCTGGCTTGGAGATTTTCGCTGACAGTAAGTAGGTTGGAAAATTTAACTTCACACACTGAAGAGGAAGGTGATGGGTCTGTCTCTTCACTCCGCACACTAACATGACTTTTTTCGAGGCTTCCATCACATACTGCTCCACCAACTTCTTCCCCCCTTGATCAAGGATCCCATTCTAGTCATTAGTGACATGGCAATTGTTCCATACCTTTGATTTCCCTTAGTCTTGTCTGAATCTTGTCCAGATGGAACTTAAGACATATATATCTTTATTATCTAGGGTAATCAGACCAAAATGTGTACTTATGTGAATCTGGGCCCACATGTACAGGAGAGTTATCTATCTTAAGACACATAATATGAAAACAGGAACTTCCAAAACTGTAATATACCTTTTACATGTACTACAAAAATATTAGGTTTTGGAGGGAGATGTTTATCTTGATACAACTCTTTCCCATTCTTGATCTTGATAAAACAATTCTTGATCAAGAAACAAAAATTAGCCGAGAAGATCCTTGGGGAAAAATAATAAACATCTTTAAAAGAATTTCCCCCCACCCCTCCTTCACAAACTACTGAAGGAGACCAGCAGCTGGTTTGAGCTACATATTGCTGTCACATTTCTTATCTTAAAGCATCTCTATTAATCCACCTTTACAGTAAGGTTTGGCTTTGCCTTCTGGAAAAAGTGGGTGATGGATTCCAAAACTCAGACGTCTTAGTCTATCCAATTTCGAGCTGGTGATGTCACTCAAGCCTAAAGCAGACACTTGGAGAAAGTCTGACTGTTGAACCTGCAAAAGTAATCCAACATTTCAAGCTGATATTTCTTCAGCTCTACGCAACAAATAAACATCGATGCAGTGGATTTTATATACTACTGAAATAAATTATTTCAGTCCTTACATAGGATATTTTAATATTAGTTATTTTGTTCTGTATTTATTGCTTTTAAGCTTTGGGAATAGAAAAAAAGTTTGCAACTACATATGCTTTTTACACCAACCTTGGGTTCTTCTTGCCAAAGTGTAAGGACTGTATGTAATTGAAGCGTACTTGTTAATACTTATTTCAAAGTGTAGGTCTTTAGTAAGAAAATGTTGAACACTGCATTTCTTGAATAAGTACTTCTATTCTGGATTTTTACTGAGATATTTATAGTTAGAAACTAGAATTCAGAAAAGCAGTACAGATATTTCTACTAAAATATATTTTTTTAACTTTTGATGCATGTGACATTTGATGAACCAGATAAATTAAAAAGGTGTTTTTTCTGTATTCCTGTTGAAAAGAAAGTCAGTATATGTTAGGTACCTAACTCACATAGGTGCATGTGCAAGCTACAGCCACTTACCCTCACCATGCCCTGCAACATTTTAGAGTTCTTACATAATCATCTCCCATTTCATTCCTCTCTGATGTAGGAGGGGAATTTGACCTTTTTCCACCTTCTAATTAACTTTGAATGAACTTACCTAACAAAGATGTTCTCTTAACCTACTAGTTAACCTGAGGGCAAAATTAAGGAAAAAGAAATAAAATCACCTTTCTGCAAAGCAAAAAATGAATACCCTCACAGCTAGGAAATATGTAAATGTAAAGCCATCAGTAATCTATTTTTTTTCATTATGACATTTCTCTCAGATACTACATATAACAAACTAACATTTCAAGGCACATCAATACAACATCCCTTTAAAGGGTTAATAAGTTACCACTTTAATTTTCTAAGACAACTCTAAACATCACCAATATTACAGAATTAATACAATTTTGAATTTACTTGATCCCCTTCAACACAAATTTATCTACTTCTTAGTATGCGATAAAGTAGAAGAAAATAGTAAATTCTCTTGAATGCATCAGGTTTTGGTATTTGGTTTGTTTTTTCTTTTCTTTTTTAAATTAGCAAGCCATTTGAAAGATTCACCTGCTTCCCTTTTTTTCCCCCCCTCTCCATTTCCCTTGCCGCCACTCCCCCAAAAAGAGAATTAATGCTTACGATTTTGTAACTTATATATCACAGGCAATTCATCTTATAAAACAGACAGACTACATAGGCACAATCATAAGCAAGTTTGTAAGAAATCAATTTTTTTTAAAGCTTTAGCAATAATCCCTGTATATACTTAAATATAAAGTGTACTTCAGTGCACAGTTGACAGCATTTCTCCAGTTATTTATTGAAATTAGAACTTAGTACTTCCATAATTAACTTTCTACTTTTCCCACCACCATCTAAAAAACTTCTGATTTTTCACAATTACATATATTTAAAGAATTTTCAGTGAGTTATATTACACAAAATATTACAGCTTGAGACATTGCACTTGTGTGAAATATTTTTACCATAAACCCATATTTACAAATATTCTTGAGGCCTCTACCCAAGACCCTAGGCCCTTTTGAATTCCGTCATTTTTAGAAATAAACTCTGTCATAGAAAGGTTTCACAGTTCTCAAAAACAATTCCAGTTTTATACATAATCATGATAACTTTAAGCATAATTTGTTACGAATGAACACATCCTTTGGAAAAAGCACTTACAGTGTAACACTATACTAAATATAACCTAAGAAATACACGTGTTGATTTTTTCCTCTCTGCCTTTTGCTCCCCTAAAAAAGCAGCAAATTTAAGTTATAAAGTGACATTCCAGTAGTCAGAACCATGTAGTGTCCTGGTACAGTATTTAGAAAAGTCAGTTCCCTAAGAATGTACATACTACTTGTCTTTTCCTAATGCACCATAAACATCACCATTTCTATTCATCCTTAGTGTAGACCATATCCTTCGGTTTACTAAGGCTCTTCACCTCATCCAGGAGTCTTCTAGGTGTCAAAATATGGGTAGAACCTGACAAAAAAAGCATAAGTATTAAGTTTTTCAGCATGAAATTCTGACTTTCAGACATTCTCTCTTTAAAAAAAAAAAAAAAGATAAATCAGTTACATGCCAGCGTATTTTACTATACCTGGAAAACTGAAAATTACAACAGTTCAAAGCATTTTCCTGTGTTATCATGTAAGTGTCACCATTAGGTAGGCAGCGTCCCTCTTCCACACACTGAGACATCCAGAGCAGGACTCTCACTTTGGATACAGGTTTCAAGCCCCTGCTCTGCCTGGTTGAAACAGCCTTAACCCGGGCTGCTTGCACTGGAGACAGTTGTCCCAGCCTGCAAGAAATCTGCCCATTCTGTTATTGACAAGCTTTATCCTAGACTCAAGAAACCACCTGGATTAAAGATTATCATAAACAGTAGTTTTCCACAGAAATATCAGTTACAGAAAACTGGTGTTTACTGACTAACGTTTCTGTGAAAAATTTGCAACAAATTCTAAGTCTGGAGCAGCAAAGAGAATCCTTATTATTCTTTGGGAGTGCAGAACTACCTCTCTTGTTCTCAGAGAGAGTGATTATAACTTCTGCCATGAAGGCCCACCCTACAGGTATAAAGGGAACTCTTAACTGTTCAAGATGAAGGCTGTCTTGAACCTTGAATTTTAGTAGTGTCAATCTGAATGGGCTAATATTCCTGAAATTCTCCATCAGGAATACAGAAAGGTTTTCATCTCGCAGTAAACAGCATGGAAATTTGGAAGTTATCACCTCAAAAATCAGGACTACAAACAAAACTACCGGAATCATCTCTAAACAAAAGGGGAGATGGAGTTGACGTTACTGCCACATGTCACACCGAAAGAGTGACCTACACAAAACATGGTTTTGTAAACAAGTCTCAGATGAAGCAACAATCTTGTTAAACTACATTCCTGTTTTCCTGCTCTTTCCATTGCAACTCAAAACCAGGACCAGCAATAAACCTACCTCAACCACCACCAACTAAACCAGCAAACAAAAAATAAACCAATAAAACCAACAACATACACAAATACATCTACAACAGGCCCCACTATTTTGAGGTAACAGACTCTAGATCTTAGGATCAAGGTTGTCAATGCTTTAGGGAAGAGTATTTATTTATTTAAAATTATAGTAGAGAGATTTAATCCCTTTTAAAACTCAACATTAGATTTTATTTCCAGACATAAGCACCTCAAGCAATTTACTTTACATGACCCTGCACCCAGACACCAGCCCAGCTGCTACCACAGATGGATACAGGTCTCTGGGTAAGGTTCTATATGTAGGAGCTGTTTTGATGTATTGTATATGCAAATATTTTAGGACATCAATTTAAACAGCATTGCAGGAAATGATTATTTGATGCACAGCAGCTAATGGCACAAGCATTTGCTGCCTCTGAAGAATTAACTGAGAGATTACTACCCCAGCTGGTAATTCATGCATTTACTGCTGAATCTTAAGAAGATTTGGGAGATTACTCCAGTTTTCAGGGGAAAAGCTATAAATCATGGTGTGGTTTCTGTAAAGTCTCAGAAGAAACCATGACAAGAACTTGAAGTTGTTGCAAAGTCAGCTGAGCTACGCTGAAAAAGTTCTTTCGGGTTTGTTTTGTTGGTGAGTCTTCTGCATTTGTTTGTTTTTAAGAAAAAAAAAGAAAATTATCTTCCCTTCCTCCCAAAGTGATTAATTTTACACTGGTCTGCCAGCTTTCCTACTACTTTCAAAAGCAATGAGACCATTACGTGCAGCCTCTGGTAAAGCACAGGCAGATGCAAAAGTTTGTAAGGAAACTGTAATGCAAAGAAGTATACAACTGCTTACATCCTTTTTGCTGTATGTCAGGCTAGTTTAGTGATTTATTTCTCCAACGTAATTCCTGATGATTCTTCTGTATTTATTGTCCTTAATATTTTGTTAGTTTAGGTAAACTGCAATCTAGATAAACTGAAAAGATAACTTCTAAATACATAGTTTTAAAAAAATACATTGGCTATAGTATTAGTTTACTCAACCATGTTAGGAAATGGAAGAAAAAAGATCCTTACATTTTTCCAGAAATCTGTGTAGTAAACCCCCACACACCACCCTTTTCCCAAAGCAAGCTTACCAATAACAACTTCACAGGACTTGTAGGCTTGAGAAACTTCATAAGCACTGCGCATCTCGGAATGTGTAACTCCTCCAATCACAAATATAATCAGTCTTGCACTGCTCTTCCGCTCATCCTTATAACTAGCTCTGGGTTTATGGCGTGCACTGTGAGAAATTTTAAAAGGTGATATTTATATAGCTTTACTGATTAATTTTGGTAAAAATTCCACACTTAAGCAGTAACAATTGCTGTCATGCAGTTCACAGTTTGATTATCATTTCAGCAAAAGAGTTTAGACAAATTGATAATCAGAATAATTTCAAATGAAAACAAGTTCACACATTACTCAGAAACTATTTAGTTAGCTCAAGGGGGGAAATAAACACAAAGTAAAAAACCTTGTTTCCCACCCATCTTACAGACAAAGGACTTCTACCAAGCAGCTTAGTTCTGCATGCAAGCAATTCCAGTGGCATTTTTCATTTGAAAAACCTAGAGTCTTAGGGGTTTTTTTCAGTTGTTGATGTTTCAACATCAACAGAATCTCAAAAAAAAAAAAAAGTATTTGGCAGATCTCAAATAAAACCTGAACAAAAAAATAAAGCTCTTAAAATATACTCTCTCATAAACATATAGTAATTGCAGATTCAGATAAAATCATCTGAAGTCCCAAACTCTCTTCACTAGGGTGCCTAAAAGATTCCCAAATTTCACCAGCCTATAAGAGAGAGACCCAGTTACAATGTACAGGGACTTGCCTTAGTGTTTCCTTCCTTTCTACTGGTCATCATAGTGCATATCCAAGAATTTAGGGAGACACCAACAGTTTGACTAGCAGTGGAAGTAACAACTGTTTTCCTAACGCTTTGTACTGTCTGTATTATTTAGTGAGGTATAAATTCCAATTCAAGTGTCCCCTCCACATTTAGGATATGTATAACATTTCATCTCTCTGTAAATTCCAGCATCTGATTAACACAATGAGCATTTCTGCAATAGGAACACTCTTATTCCTATTCAGCTGCCTCACCACTTAAATAACACTACCATAAGTGATAAAGCTAACAAATGGGCAGGTATTGGTCATGAGGTTCAAGAGCTAGTGGTATTAAAAAGGAGGAGAGAAAGGACAGTACAAGTTCATGAGCTAAAAAACACCTCCAAAAATCACCTCTCAGTGCTACTGGGTAAATATGCAATTATGTGGAACAACCCATTTCAGATTCATTTGCAGAGAATTCATTTCAAAACCTCCAACTTTTCTGGGCTTCTCTAAACCATCCCCTGACAACAGGCACCAAATACCTACCAGGCCCATATTCCCTGACGAGAGAGCCTACACAAGTTTAATTTAACCTACTGAAGTCATCAACTTCAAGAATGACACTGCCACTACCACAGCAGAAACAACTTTCAGAAGAAATTAAAACATTCTTTCTGCCTAAATCACAGTTTGCTGCTAATCCATCCCTGAAACTACTTCACACTAAAAAGCTCAATGGTTTAAACTTCTCACTCTGGGAATATGGAAATGTTATTTCTAATTTTGAAGCAAAAGGGAGATACTCCAAATAAAAAGCTATAGAAAAGTTATTAAACTAACAATCAAGTTAAGCATGTTCTAGAGGAAATAAAAATACAAGTTTTACACATTAATATTACCTTATATAAGTTATGTCACTGCTTAGGATGCACACTTTTATAATGCTTTAGAATATACACGACAAGCACACTGACAAACGGGTAAACTATGTTTCAAGAAATTAAACAATTTACCTTACTGCTCCTGATCCATTCCAGGTAGGAGGACACTGAGAACTATAAGGCCACTCTTTTGAATCTAGTTTGTTTTCTATAGCATCCTGAAGGGCAAAACAAAGATCCACTTTAAACAGCCACATGGACCTAAAAACCATCAAGCTTCAACTTCCAGTAAGGATGTCTAACTGGAATTTAATGCCAGGACATGCAATTTCTTAGAATAACCCATGACAAGCAGCATCTCATAAACAATACGCATGTGTAACAAAAGGCTAGACCACATAACGCTAAGAGTTATTATAAGGCTTTTGTATATCACAAGGAACCGGGATTATGCGAGCTTTCTTTATGAACAGAGTATTGATTTGACTGTTCAGATTTCACTAGTAGCTTTTTATCAGTAACTACCCTAACATTTCATTTCTCTATAGCAACATACGAGAGAAGTTAAGATCCCCTGGAGACACAAATGAATATATGAAAGTCACCAACAATCTGTGAATGACAGCACTGGGTCAGACTAAAGGAGCAGTGACCTCACTGTTCTGACATCAGCCACTACCTGACGCTTAGGAAGAGGTTTAAGAACACAGCAAGGACACTTCTGACAAGTAACATTTTCCAGCCTCCACCAATCTACAGTTTACATCTGAATTGCAGTTTCAAGACCCACTGGAGAAAAAAAATCCAGATCTTAACACTAAACACTGCCAATCACAGGACAAGCTGTTCAAAAAGACTTTTTGCTTTCACTTTCATTTGCTTTACCTTTAAAATGACCTCCAGCGAGGAGCATCGTTAACACACCACAGTCTAATATTCTATACTACTAACAGACTAGAAGCAATGTATTTAACTTAAGTAACTCAAGATACTACAGAATTTCAAAAGATTGGCTATGACTGCTTGCTTGAGTAAATTTCTGCACTGCACCTATGAGTTAACTTGTTGGTCAAATTTACCTCCATAACATCTTTGATAACAGGCGTCCACCGAGAAAGTTGAAAAGTTTCTTCTGAAGAACGGTCCCTTCTCGGGTATTTATGCTGCTGAGCAGCAGACTGAAAAGATTTTCAAAATGTGGTTGTATTATACAGTGTATTTGGATTCTGGAAACTTATTACCAGTTAACAGCAGGTGGGGGGAGGAAGAGGAAATCAGTAGGAAAATTTAAAGAAATACCACCACCAAAGAACCACAATTAATACCTGTAGAATTCAGTATACACTAGAAATGCTAATTTCAGAGACAAGGAGTTGAGTAGTTGGCACTTTCCAAAACCAACCAGCTTAAGTCACTATCTGATGATTTGCGGGAATATCATAGAGGGTGTATTATAGGTATCTTACTGAAGAATTATTCATGTTAGTTGTTTAAAGTATTTACCACTTACACACATCATAAAAACAAGAATTTCTAGTAATTGTCCACTTCCCCCCAGAAAAAAAAGACCTGGATAATACTGCTAAGAGTTGCTGAAAGAGCTGTAAGGCAAGTGCTTGGGTAGTAGGAAATTACAAAATAAATAAATACATTCTTACTGAAGAGATAACAGGAACATCAAGATATTTCCAATTTCTTATCATATCGCTATCACTTTCTATTTGTACATTCTGGATCAGCTTGTCCAAGTTCTCCTGGGTAGTTCCTTTGATATAAGGAAAACACACAACTTAATTACCATGTGACTGTAAGACCAATTTTGTCTCACACATTCTGGGCTGTTATTTAGTCCAGGATTATTTTGGGGGTTTTGGCCAGTCTACTTTAAGTTTAACATAACACCACATTTTAGATAAATTTTTGTTTAATGGTCCATTTTCAAGACCAAAACTTAATGCTGTTGCAGATTCCTCAGACCCACATTGTGCCAATTTCCTTCTCCTCTACTACAAATTCTTCCTCATTGACTTCATTTTCAGGATGCAATGGACATGGAACTCCTCCTTTAACACCTCCAATACTATAGAAAAAAGAGGAAATTGTAACATCCAAGCACAGGAACCATACTAAAACACTGTACAGATCTGCACTGGTACTGCATGCCTTAGCTCCTTACCAACAGTATCTTTGCTATGAAATTGGGAGAAGAGAAGCTGCAGAGGATGGACAGTATTTCTGTCAAACTTGACCATCAACTCCAATACAGATGCTTAAGTTAACTGAAAATACTGGATTATCCCAAAACTTGAGTCGAATCATAGTACTGAGAAAAAAAAATTGTAGCTTATCATACCATTTGTGCTAAAGATATACAGGAGAATAGCTCTAATTTTGTCATAGCTCTCGTGACTTTTGTTGAGCAGAACTGGAAGGAGGACTCTCATCGAATCTTTCACTTTCTGACCTTCTGCATCAGTTCCAAGAGCTAAGTCCTAAATTTAAAAAAAGAAAAAGTTATTTTAGTGAGTAGTCATTATAAAAAGCATTGTTTTGTGTGGTCTGAAATTCGTTTTTATGAAATCATAGGTTTCAGGAAACAAACAAGCTGCATCAACTTAAACTCAGCATGAAAATTCTTTGACATAATTATTTCAATAGTTACAGCATTAAATAACACTACATGACACTCAAACATTTAAAACTCTTTGAAACCGAGAATTTATATAAATATAAATTATAGTTTTTAACTTGAGATTGATGGAACATTGTAATGCCTCACCCTATCAGGTGTTTTTCCCAGACATTTTAAAAGACCTTCCTTCTGCAGAACACAGTAAAGCAACTTCATAGGAGATGATCCTTATACAAATCAGCCACGTTCAAAGACAAAAAAATTAAAGCTCTAAAAGCACCACCTTTATTGGCAGAGTAAGAGCCTTGTATGTCTCACTTAGCTCTACACTACTACCTCAATGAAGGAATCACAACAAAAGAGTCAAGAAATACACTACTTTTGTCAGTTAAAAACAGGCATCTATTCCTGCAAACAAAAGTCACATTTGCAGTAAGTTGTTGTTTAGTTTGTGGACTTTTTAAAATATACCTGTTCAGTTTTACAGAGCCTTTCTATGTTAGATTTGAACTTGCTCATGCAATCTTCTGCTATGTTAAGATGGACAACTTGCTAGAAGAGATAAAAAAAGAGATAAAAATCACAAGCTGCAATAACTTGCCTTTTTTTAAACAAAAAGAAACAAACAAAAAACACATCAAGCAATTATTTTTACCGGTTACAAGAATCAATCCATCAACTATCCTTCAGTGCCACCATGCATTTCCTGTGTTTAAGCCTTCGTTTAAAGACTGAGCCCTGTAATACCTTTCAAAACGTTAAACTGTTACACTATCGTCAATCTGCAAAGCACACGAATCAGGTAAGTGTTCTGGGTTTCAGTTTTGCTGGTTTTTTTTTTCAATACTGAAATGAAACACCTGCAAACAAGTTTTCTTCAAAAATTTATACAGTAGGTGAACATAACTGATTTGGAGAAGAGTTATATAGCATACTTAACAGGAAAATGACAGAATAAAACTAGACTTCAAAACACAGGAAGTTATAGTACAAAATGATTTATTGTGAAGTTGCAGTTACAAAAGACTCCTTACCCTGCTAATCTCTTTACGATAGTGTGGCATCTTTTTCATTAACTGGGACAAAGCAGATATCGATAACTGTGAAGAAATAATACAAGTTGAAAATTTCCCCAATATTTGACATCCCTATTTCCCTTCCTGTTGCAGCCTTGCTCCGCCCCCCACAAAAAACTGCCATTGAGATAAGCCTCGATTTCTGTAATAGGGCCATTAATTACATAGATCTGATCAGCCAAAAATAATTACATTACTATGGAAAACAACGTATGTTAAACCACTTACTTTTCCTTCTGTTGCTTTTCTTTTTGATGAAACTTCTTTCAAAAGTTTTGGTATTTCCCTGAAAAAAAAAAACCCACAAAGGAAAGTCATCAAATGCAACACCACGACATTTCTCAAATCTTTCAAGATCTTCACTGAAAATCTTAAAAGAAATGTACAACAAGAACTTCTGAAAGAAAGTAAAAGCTTCAAATGCAGGTCTCCCTCAGAGAAGAGTGTTTTTTTGACAAAGGTAACTGAAGTTAAGCATGCTGTTTGTAGTACTTGCATAATGTCATTTAATACGATAACATGCTAGTACTTTATGCAAAGTAATCCCTTCAGATGTAAAAGATTTGAAGATACGTCCCAGGAAATAATTTTATTTCCACTTTTCTTAAGTTCTGTAATTAATATTAGTTAGATTGCATACCTCTATACATACTGTATTTTTGAAAGTATGTTTTCTTCCTGGCATCAATTATTTAACAGGATGCCATCTATACCGTAAACCCCCTTCACTACTGCCTGTATTTCTATTTTCTTAACGGCTCAAATACACTTCCCTCTCAAAGAAACTTTTATAACCAGTCTTTTTAACTAGTTTGTTATTTATTCACATACTCTATCACATCTGCAATATGCTTGTGCCGTATCTTCACCCAGAGCTCATCATCTTCCTCCAGAATTGCCTCACGTTCCTTCCCAGCAGGTCCTTCTGTTTTGTATCTTCCAAGAGAAAATTCACACATTTATTTGGTTTGCGGTTTGTTCCCCCTCCCCATCTTATTCTCATAACTGGTTAGAATATTAATTGTTATGGTATAATTGACATTCACAGTAATTGCAGTAACATACACAGGTTTTCAGTTACAAGCCAAGCTATTGCCCTATAAAATAGAATTTACGTAAGGATTCTACAGATTACATCTTTGAACACAGAAGCAGCAGACAAATTTTAGATTCTTTGTGGGAATAGCTTCTGGACATTCTTTTAAACAAACGGTAAAGAGAGTTTCAAGCATACATTTACATGCACCTCAGTTTCTCTTCAACTTCCAATGTCAACTTCCCTTTGCCTTCAAATGCAAATTGTGTGCAAAGCAATACACATTCAGATTGTAAAGTGCAGATTTCTGTATCTACTATAAGAAATCTGTAACTTTGAAGGAAAACGAAGTACCATTCACCCACAAAATAGATTAGGTAGGACAAATTACTTCACATGTACAAGAAACGTGCTTCACAACATTACAGACCAGCTATTACTTTTCTACAAAGACATAAAGAAACCTATAAAGCAAGATAACAACCACAGTACGTAACATTCTTACATTTACAAGAACTCACACAGTGCTGGCCAGAAAGCAGAAAAATAAATTTAAAAAAATTACAAGGTTAATTGTCAAAGTCAGATCATGGCTACCTAGAAAACACACTCTTGCTACATCTTCATACCCGGCAAACTTCAGATTCATAGAATTCTACACTTTCTACAGAAACATTCACTCAGTGTTTCTGACAGAGAAGATATGTATTCCTGTTTGCTTAACTAAACAATAAATAATTTTTTTAAAAATGCAATTTGTTAGACTCAAAACTTAGCAAAAATGCTAATTAGATCCTACCTAATCTCAACTAAATGAGGAAGTTAAAAAGAGGAAGTCACAAATCCAAGAGGAAAGACTAATAATAAGTGAAACAATCCTTATGTAATATAAGTAATGTTAGCTATTGCTACAGTGCAATTCAGCTAAACAATTCCATTGATTTTATAATCAAGAATAAAGTGTTTAGATTTCTTTTAAAAAGTACTTGCTTGTAAGTATCATTTTCAATTGGCAGCAGATCATAAGCCATCGCCTGGAAGGTGAGCTCATGAAGGACAGTTGACACTGGGTCAAAGCCACGATCAATTATTATTAGCTGGGAGTGGGTTTTAGCCTAGGAAGCCATCAAATACACATAAAGTTAAGACGTACAGTACAAAGTTAATGCATGTTAAATCTATTTACAGTAAGTTACAGCACTGCAGACATTGTTGGGAAAATAACTGAAAAACACTAAAAGGTACAGTCCAAGTGTTTATCAACATAAATGGAAGCAGATGTTTAAATTATAACCACAGCACAGTGGTTTTAAATACTAATTTTATGGCAATGCTCTTAGCCCATTGCAATGCATTCAGTAGCCTCACTTAAACAAAAAGTGTAAAGAAAAAAAAAACTAGCATCACACAAAAAAAGGCCTCCCACTGACTTTTTACAAATAAGCATTGTTTGAATTTCAGCATAGACTATCTATGCTGTGCTGTAATACAGAAAAAAATAAACTCCAAACATTTAACTACAAATTTCATTTTGGAGTTTAGCAGAGAGGCAGCAGCATCAGGTACAATTATTTCTGTAGGAAAATGGGATGTCACCAAATCAGAATGGTTTACCCCATAATTCTTTATTTAGGCAGCTGCCCTAACCTGCAGTGACAGATCAAAAACACTATTTATGTGAAAGATTAATTTTTCCCCAGACTTACAAAAAAAGAAGCAAACGTTTTAGTTCACTTTCTACCTTTATTTGGCTTTTCTCATCAGTTTTGTAGTAGTTTTCAAGATTTTTTTCAACAAGCTGTGCAAGTTTGCTGGCTTTATCAGATGGTCCACTGGGAAAAAAGGAAACATGCAAAAAAAACCCTTAAATTTCTTCATCAAAACACTAAAATGCTACCTTTAAAACAGAAAGAACTCCCTAGCTCAATCCTCTGGTTTCATGAGCAGTTTCTGAATTCCTTCCAAGCAGTTCCAATGTATTTTCACTCTTACATTATGATTCCACTCTTTGAATGCTTCAGGTATTTCAGACAGAGACAGCTTCAACCAAAAGACTGACATTAGCTGGCATATGGCCCAGCACCTAAAATTCTCACTCAGAGGTGGGGAGCAAGAAAGAAAAAAGAAAAAGAGAAAAGAAAGAACAGTAAAGCAATTATTTCTTTGTTACCTTTGCATAGAGTAAGGCACCACTTCACGTTACACCAGAGAATGCAATTCTTGAGCACAATTTCAGATGCCCACTTTAAGATACTATTCAGTACTTTCTATGAGAGTTCAAGAGATGCTCTCCTCAATAGCTCTACTACACATAAATCCTGATCTTACCAGCCTCAGCAATTTATGAATTCCTTGATGCCAAGCGGAGCTGCAAAACTACCAACAGCAGCATTTACAGGATTATGCATGCGGTGTATTAGAATGCAGCATATTAGTGTTTCACATTTAGTCAGTAGGATGACAAGCAGTTCATAACAAAACAGGATATACTAAGTACTGTTATGTGAATACACAGAGATATAATTCCCTACTCTGCCCACACTTCACAAATTCCTATCATTCCGTATTTCAGATTTGTGGATTAAAAACAATTAATCCACAAGAAACTAAGCTGCAGCTTCAAGCTATTACCAAACAACATAGGAAGTCCTAGAAGTGAAAGCAGCTGCACTATGAAACACTATTTTTGCCCACCTTTTGTATCGTACTCCTGGATTTTCATCTAGCGTGGCACATAAGGTAACAATCTGTTCAGCCATTACTTGCATTACAGCATCTTGATCTTTTGTCTTTTCCAGAGTTGGACTATAGCAGCGGTAGAATGCATCTGGGACATTGAGAGTAAATACCTATGTAAAGGACAACCAAGAAAAAAAATGGCCAAATTGCATATTTCTAAAATACCTGGTATCTGTTGATTATCTGAAGACTTTACCTCCAAGAACTAAAATTCTTTAAATGCATTAAACCTTGATAAAAGATGTTTAATACTACACAGAAGAAAAGCTTTTTCAACAGTTTAATAAATGGAATGCAAATATGGAAACAAACTCATTGTCAATAAAAGGATCTTCTGCAGCTTCAGATGGACTCTGTAACTACAGAGCCAAAGAAGAACATCCAGCCAGATAAAGGTATTTGTTTCACTTGAGTAGATAATCACTTGAACTTTGCCCACAGCTCAGTTTGATTATTTACTCTTATCACCACAGAAAGCAGGCCTGGGTATTTGAAATGAGGCAAATCACTTAACATTCGCTGTTCCTTTGCTAAGGATTCAAAATGTTCTCCTCACAACCCAAAATACTGAGAACACAAAACTAAACTAAAATCAAGAAAAGACTAAGTGCTGCTTATTTGCAACTTTAGAAAAGTAGTTCTAATTCCTGCTTTCATAGCAAGTCCTCCAGAGAATCAAGACAGCCTTATTTCATAGAGGAAGCTAAAAACCGTTTTCTTAAGAGCAGCTTTAGCAGAACTCCCAAAACCAGTCTGAAACAAAGCCTGAGAACATCACCACCATTGGAAAACAAACAAACCACCACTATAATTATTCTCTGATGGCTTCTCAATTTAAATAATAAAAAAAACTTTATTATAAGGAATGCATCTTCACACGAGAAAACTGCATCACAGTAAGGCATGGATAGCAGCAACCTCTCTTACATTCACCTGACACACATAAGAGTTCAAAGAAAAAAAAAAAGCTACATTCTATTTAGTTGTTTTTGACCAGGTCAACAACACTTAGAAATAGTCCTCCAGACTATTTTCTGCTGTTGAGATAAAGAATGAAACTAACCTGAGACTCATATGGGAAGAAGGAAATGTTGATCTCCTTCAATTTCCGTATTGATTTTGCACAGGAAGACTTAATTTTATTGAAGAGGTTGTCAGGACAAACTAGGAAGAACAAAAAAAAAAAAAGATTCTAAGTATAAATCATTTGTGCGTTATTAACTCACTTATAAGCTTACTGTATTCAGGACAGACAAATCTAAATTAAGAACCAATTAACAGTAACATACAAAAAAGTTGCCAAATCCTGAAGTGGAAGAGAACATACAATCAATATTTTGTGTTTGAAATATTTCTCAAGAAGCATCACTGATAATTTTTTACTATCTTTTGGCAAGCCAAGCTGTAGAACACTCATTAGCAGTCTGCAGCAGTGAAGGATGTTGATTTTATCAAAGCAAAAGTTTCTGCTATTTCTACTCATATAGGAGAGAGAAAACATTTCCCAAGCTACTAAAAAGGTTAAAGGGAGAGAGAAATTTGTACATATCAAACAGCAAAACAGAGAAATACGGAATTTAACTATTGCGTTCCACCACACACATGCTATACCAGATCCCAGTCCAGAGACTGAATTTAAGGAATATCTGAATTACATGAATTCTACACGGACTTAGAAGTAACAGATGTATTTCTCTAACTCCTCTCAACATTAAAAGTTTTGGCAAGTATTCAAAAACTGAAAGCTCACACACTTGCAATAAAGGAACTTAGAGCAAGATAGCAGTATTTTTCCAGAACAAAAATTGCTGCATCAGCACAAAATGAAACAAGAAACCAACAGTTTTTAGTAGTAATTTGAGAATTGCTTTGAGAACATACAGTAGCAGATCTACACCATCCACGGACATCCACAGAGACAGCCACAACTCAGTCTGTCTTCAGCAGTATGTTTGGGTTTCTTGTTTTCCCTTATTTACATGCTTTTTTAGTCACACTGACTGACTGCAGAGCAACAGGCAGTCACATTAACCCCATTTGCAATAATTTATATTATGCATACAAGGGCTAAGTAGGCATCTACTTTCAGGTGATGGGAAAAAAAAAAAGCTTACTCACAAGTCTGAAGAAACTACCTAAAATGATCAATTACAAAACATTGCAAATTCTCATGCATTCGTATTTTTGAGTACAATTCTGTTTATGAGACACATAGCTCTACTTGAATTGTCTTCCTCTACACTCTCCAACAGAGGAGAAGACTGGAATACTTCAAAAATAAAACTAAATTACCTAAATTAAAAGCTGAGGTGGGGAACAATCAACATTGTTTGGCAATTGTGAAATAAATGACTATTGCCACATGGCACAGTGACTACATTCTGGCAATCCAAATATGTGTAATTACTTGAGTTTCAAGTCTTCCCTCAAGAAACAGGACCCAAAATTTACATGTACTAAACTACAGGAAAGAAAGTTGAGAAGCTTACTTATTTACATATATCAAGTTATCCAAACTACAACACAAAAGCTTACTTACAGTCAGTGAAATACACATATGCTGCTTTGTATCTGCTGGATGATTTAGTGATGAAGTCATCAATAAGTCCATCTACAGACTTACAGGGACAGGGAAAACAAGGGAAAAAAAGTCATTAGTGTTTTTGCCTTTCCTCACACACCAGAAAGCTTCTCCCTCCTCTCCTCCTGCCCCGTTAACTAGCCAGTCCCACTCAGGAATACTGCAAATCGACATATAAGAAAACACTGAAGTAGAAGATTTTTAATTCCAGACCAAGAATAATATAAACAATTACAGAAGGTCAGTCATGCACCAAGATCATTTTCAGAAGCAAACAAAGCAGGATATTTGCATCATTTTCCACCTATAACAGTGCTGAGATTTATTCTCTCAAGAATTTTTAGGAAGTGACAGTAACCTCTTATTAGAGCCATTACTTTGAATTCTATTGTTCAATGCATTGCATCATTCTTTCATACAACATCTCTTTCAGTGAGGTTAGTAATAGCTAACAGTGCCTCCATTGATCAAAAGATACACATTTGCAAAATGGTGGCACTGCATTGCCTTTTCATTATGCAATGAAGCATCACACAAATGCAAAAATTTAAGTACTGCAATATTTGTAAAAAGTAAATAAATATTTTCCAATAAGATTGTTTTTTCAGCCTGAAAGATCTTGCTACGCTTTCTTTAAAATACTAACCTTTTTGGTGGGAGTTATGAAATATATTGCTTTCATGTGTGGGACAGGTTCACGGTTTTTATATACGTTCTCCACCACTATAGAGAAAGAAATATTACATTTTTATAATTAAGAGCTTTACGCATCTTTAAGGAAAGCACCATACAAATTTTAGTATAGAGGTGATAAAAATAAAATAACACCTATCAAGTTGTCCACAAATTTAGTGGCAAGAACCTATCTTCTGCCAAGAGCACTTTGATTTTTTATTTATTTATGATTTTAAATACAGCAAGTTACCACATGACTTCTTCAATCCTCAGTTTAGTGTCAATTAAATTTGTAGGACTAAATGTTTTTTCCCTAGGTATTCTACACAAGCAGAGTTTTGCCTTCACACAGAAAGATATGGCAATACAAACATGCTCCAACTATGGGGGACAGTATGAAATATGCTGCAAGAGAACTGCCTCAGCATGATTGTTCTTTTTCCAGCATATTGAAGGAGAATAAAACTATGCAGGGCATAATTTTGGACTATAGCCTCTTCTGTCCTTTGTTTGCCTATTTCCTGTGCACTTATTGTGTTTCAATGTAATTGCAGGCACCAATTACACATTTTCAGCAAATTAGCTTCACTCAGCTCTTGGCTTTCTCTGATTAATAAATTCATAATCATATAGTGTTGCAGTACACCAGCCTGAGAATGCAGAGATTCATGTTGCTCAGTACTTTTCTTTGTTCCTCCCCCTTAAAATTAAATGTCAGACATTTGGATGTGGAAAGACAGGTTCTTTTCAGTAGCGTATTCACTAAACGGTTTCTAACTGATGAACAGGATACATGCTCACTGAAAGTTTCTCAAAAAGGATAAATAGTAGTTATTATGATTATAAAAATACACTCCAAAAGTGAAAGGTATACAGCTTTATTATTATACTTCCAGAAGAATCGTGTTATACTCAATAGCTGGAATAAGAAAAATCTTGCTACTTGGTGAAAAATAACTAAATCTAAATACTGCTTTCTTACAAAAGTATTTCTAAAAAATCTAAATCTAAAGTTAATAAAGGACTAGATCATCTACATTTTGTATATTCGTTTCAATTTCAAAAACAGGCAGGATGACACACTAATAAACATTACAGAAAGGTCAAACACAAAAAGCAACTTTGACAAATGCTTTATGATAGGAAAAAATATCGTTTTCTCAAGTTGTAAGCAAGAAAAGCCCAAAAGATTTACTAGAGAAAAAATACTTTTTAAAAATCCACATAAAAAAACCAAAGTCTTACCTAAACAGGCATACCACGTAACTGAGATCTATCACAACCCATTATTCACTTTTGACAGTGGCCAACATCAAGGAACAGGAGAGACATTCCAGCAGATGAGAAATTCCACTCAACTCAAAACTACTCCCAAATTGTTTGGAAAAGTGACAACCTAATTACTATTAATGTTGCTTATGGGTTTATTCTCATTAAAGTAATAATTGAGATAATTTAGCTTCGAGTTTTTATTGTTTGGGGTTTTTTCCCTCCCCTTTTTTTTTTAATTACAGAAAGCTCTCTTGGTTTGAGAAGAGGCTCAAATAACTGAACAAAACAGAACTGAAATTTACATTCTTGCCTCTACCACATCTACTTGCTTACAAACATCTCTCATCAGTTAGTCTGCTATTGTCTCCTGTTCTAATTTTGTCTTCAGTATTTAAGTTTCTCTGCCCTTGTATCCTAACACTACTGCTCAAGAGAATAAATTAATTCAAAACAGCAGATATTACCAATTTACAGAACACATTAGGAAAAAAATGCAGAGAGCAATTTTCCTATTTGTTTATGTTTTACTAACATGCGCTTAATTCTTTACTGAGCTTGTTTTCCCTTAACTTAAACTGACAGATAATATCCTTAAAATTGCTCTGTGACAGATAACTTTCTAATTTACCGCATCATGGACACTAGCAAACAAACAACTACCCCCCAGAAAAAACACCCCACAAAATAAACAAAAAAACCCAAACAGAAATTATTAAAAAAAAAAACCACCAAGCAAAACCAATGACAACAAACACCAAAAAAATCTTACAGCAATCTTTAGCAAAAAAAACCAAAACAAAACTAAACTAAAATAGAAAAGGTTTTAGCTTCTAGACAGAGAAACATTTAACTCCATTTAAAAAAAAAAAATCACGCTTGGGTAATGACTGTACATGCCAGAAAGTCCGCTAGTCGAATACCCCATAGCTACTTGTCTTTATCAAACAAATTAAGGCAATTTCTTGCAAGGGTAGCACCAATTTCATTCTTCCCCTTTTTCTTATCAGGATATTGCCATATAAAGAATTATGCTTACCTGTGATACCCTCTGCCAGTAGATCAGTCATTTTGCAGCACATGGACAGTAATTTAGTAGTGTAATCATCTAAAAGCATTATCTATATATATTAAAAAAAAAAAAAGGTATTTAGATAAACTATAGATAATCAGCTATAGTAACCTCATGTTATTTTCTTAACTTGCCACTGAAATTTGAAGCTGAAATGTATTTTATTACTCTGTATCTTTTCATCACATGCATATAGCAGCTTTGCAGTGGGAAATTAATCTCAAATGGCATCAGAAGGCAGCTCCCTACATACAGGACTTCAAGAAATGGGCTCCATCTTAAATAAGTAGCTGTCCCCACTACTCCTACTAGAAAGTATTCAAGAACTTTCACTTTGACACAGGTCTTTTGAATTCCTGTCTAATTTAACCCATGGCATGCTTAAATATAACTGTACTTATTCTAAAACTGCTTTACAGCTTAAGCAGCTCTAGCAGGTATCATACTGCTGAATCCTGCTCCACACGTATCACACAGCAGTATAATTTTTGAAATCAACAAAGTACAGGTCTTTCAGAAGAAAAGTGAAGATAAACAGAAACAGTTTCTAATCTTTTTCAAAGCTTGAAAAAGAATTGAGACAACTAACCATTTTTCTTAGTATTTTTCATTATGCATTATACAGAGATCTGAGTTAACAGAACTAAAATCCATTACTTGGATAGAAAACAATTTCAAGTGAAAGTGACAGCCATTAAATGATACTTATTTTTTGCACACTGAGTGAAAGAATCACTTGAACAAGTAATCTGTATCATTCTTGCAAAAATCGTAACAAAACTATACCTTCCATTCTTCCTCTTTCCTGCAGTCATCAAATATTGATGATTTTTACTGAGTGAAAGAATCACTTGAACAAGTATCATTCTTGCAAAAATCGTAACAAAACTATACCTTCCATTCTTCCTCTTTCCTGCAGTCATCAAATATTGATGATTTTAGCTCTGTAACAAGAAGCAGAGATAGGCAGTTTATCAGTTAGAGGAATCAAATCATTACTGAAAAAAATAATTAACCCATTTAGCCTCATATGTTTGGAGACCTAAAACAGAGGAACAAAAAAACCAAACCCACTGATAAATACCTCTACAGAATTCTTGGCTACGAACTATCCCTGCTGTTTCAGGAAGATGTTGCTAAATTTTTCATTTTTGTCAATATTAAACAGCTCCATAAAAACCAGCCAGAACAATCACAGGTCTGTAAATATTTCACTTCGTTTCTATTTTTTTAGCAACCCCTTCCATTAAATGGATTGTGCACATGCAAAAAATTTAAGCTACTCTTTAAGATAAGACGCCTGGACCAACACAAACAGACCTATTTTAAAATATATGCTAACTTCAGATGTCCTTGTTCTTCCTCTAGAATTCCAGAATAAGCCTAAGAAAATACCAGTTCTTCCAGGAATTTAACGTTATCTTAAATAAGCTATCCATTATCTTATCCTACCATGACAACCTTAGGAAAAATGTCAATTGAAAAGCTTGTACAGGATTCAGCAATAAGAGTCAACTTCTAGTTACGACCCACAGGCTTTAAAGATCACCAGAACTATGAGTTGCAACTTTCAGGAGTGGTGTCATCTGGCTAGCACAGATCCATCTCACAGCAGTGGTATGTATTAATTAAAAGACAGAAGATTTCGCGAACTATTTTAAACCTAGTATTTATAAACACAGGAACAAAGAGGTTCCTGATTATTCTGTTCTCTTTTCCCAGAGAACAGAATTTCAAATTAAGCTGATGACTACTTCTATTAAAATTGCTGGACCTTTTTCTCCAAAAGAAAAAAATGATAGTAATAGAAACAGAAGTCTCAAATACAAATGAGCAAATTCAGCACCCATTTTGTGACAACTGCCAAGGAAAAAAAATAAGATGTTTCGGAACAGGAGGTGCACATACAACAAAAAGTACACCTATTTCTTCAACATTTATCGATACTCATTTCTGTGCAAGCCCCTTTGGCGCGATCCTACTGCCAGGTACTCCATCTCTACCTCCAACTTCCAGTGCCCCCCAGAATTCAGCAGTTACTTCAGCGGAGCAGCCCACCTGCTCATCCAGCCTTCATTTCATTTCAGCCCCACAGCTTTAATGCTGCATAGCACGCAACGCTCTCAAGTTGTCACACTTCATGCTTCTCATATTTACATTTCACAAAGATGTCCTACACAAACTCTTTCACACTAACACAAGAAGTTTATTTTGAAAGATTAGTACTTCATGCTTTAGATTTCCAGTATGCTCGTTACTTTTTGCAGCACTGACATTCTTCATAGTAACCTAAAAACCTTACACTCCATCTAATAAACTAATAAAAACACTGTTCTAAAAGCTATTTAAGTAAAAAGCACATGTTTCAAGAGGGATGCAATCTGTGTATTTTGTTCAGGCTGCTAAAAAAAAAAGAACTCAAGCTCAGTTCTCCCGAATCTTTTTTTCCTTATACAACTCCTAAAATCCATTATCACTGCTCAAGCTTGCCCTCAGGTTTGCTTGCTATTCGACATCCTTCCTGCTCTACACAACCCACAGTTTTCAACAAGTTCTAGGTCTGCTTCGCCTGGTGTAGAGAATTCTGTGACTTCTTTGGATATATTCTATACAAAACTGCAGAATGCTTATCACTGCATAGCTGCTACCAAGATGTATTTGTTGGTAATAACTGAATCCAGGATGTAATACAGGCACATTTTTTCCTGTCACTTGTATTCTGTGTATTTGTTACATTGTTTTTCTAGGTCTACATACAAGTTGTAAGAAGAAATCTCTAGCCTCGTGAAAATGTAATGAGTCTTCATATTTTCTGAGAACACTCTTCGCAAGGAATTAATCCCTCCCATGATACACAGCTCTTTTTAATAAATTGAGTGCCTGAGAGCCTTGTCCAAAATCTCAAAAATATTTTTTCTACAATATCTTACCTGCCTATAAAATGAACCAGAACATACAAGTGCATAATCCAGTTGTGTCTTGAACTTAATTTCTGTAATTAAAAATAGAAGTCAGCTTTCTCCCATCACAAGAAGGTATTTTATTCCAAGCTATCAGTGTACCAGACACATGTACTTCCCCTGCAACACTCCAACTGCTATTTGTTTTGTCCTCAACCTGCAGCTGCTTTACCCAAATATCTGGCCTACGCTGGTTTACAGGCTCTTCAAATCATCTCATTTGTCTCCAGTAAGCATTTTGAATGCACCAAGAACAATCATAAACCCAGGTATGAACAGAAGTGCTCCATTTTGTCTAAGTTTTAATTTCCTTCTCAGAAATTTCAAGCTGGCCATGCATCCTAACTACCTCATCTAATTTTATCTTCTCTAACTACATTCGATTAGTTTAAGGCATTTTTTCTTCTACTTTTACTTCCCAATACAGATAAGAACTATACACAACCCTGACAGAACAGCAGACTGCTAAAACCCTGTGTGAAAAAAAAAACAAAAAAAAGCAAACCACACCTTGACATAGTTAATGACCCATTTATAACACACTTCCTGAAGAAAGGACTAGAACAGCTTTCACTGTAAGAAAGCATTCTGGAAAATAAAGTTTCAGAATTGTTGAATCATTTTTAAAAATTAACATAGATATCTATGGCTAGGCTAGAATCTTATTATACAAGTCTTGAGTACATTTTAAAGTTGCAAAAAAATTGAAGACAGAATTCCTTCTGGAAATAACCTTATTTACAGATATACACACCCAGATGCAGTATATAGTTAATTTTTTAATTTTATCCCCAGGAACTACGGCCTCTTAAGTACAGGTAGCTTCCTCCATACCCAAAAAACTGTGAACTTAACTGACAAAAAACTTGGGTGAAATAACCTTTTCACACACTTCTGCATCAGTTCAGCCTAAAATTGCACCTTTCAGCAAGGGCTATCACAATGGAAAGAAGAGCTTTTAACAGCACCATATCAGAGCACAGGTAAAACACTCTGTACACACAATGCAAGTACAACTTCTTTGCCTTTTCATAGAACAGGAATATGATACACGCTGGCAACAAGCTGCTACATGAAGCATCAACATCACCAACGAATTATTCTCAACAAACCAGCCTTAAAAACCCCATGTTTGCTGTAACATTAGAAAGCAGCAGCTCATGGCCTTGAATTATCCATAAACAAAGTGCCAGACAATGTCTAAAACTTCATCAATTTCCATTGCTGTTGTAGTTTTGGAAAGATAAGAGTAATAACTAGTTAACTAACAAAGCATTTTTTTCAGAAGCAGTTTCCTTTTTTACCAAGCTTGCAATAGAAACATGTTATTATTCACACTGCTTCAGTGTGTGCACAGTGCTTCACCATCACTCTAATCTTTCTTCCTCATGGTTTTGTTCACACTGGCAACGCTGTTTTCAGAAGTCTTTATACACTCTGGTGGCACACTAGCACTTTGATCAGGTTGCCTCCTTTTAAGGCTATCACGCTTGACCAATCTGACAGCCTTCCACGATGGCAAGACTAGCAGGGTGGATGACAGGAGAGCAGTGGATGTTGTCTACCTCAGCTTCAGCAAGGCTTTTGATGCTGTCTCCCATTACATCCTCACAGGTAAGCTTAGGAAGTGTGGATGAGTAGACAGTGAGCTGGACTGAGAACTGGCTGAATGGCAGAGCTCAGAGGGTTGTCATCAGCAGCGCAGAGCCCAGTTGGAGGCCTGTAACTAGTGGTGTTCCGCAGGGGTCAGTACTGGGTCCAGTCTTGTTCAACATACTCATCAACAACCTGGATGAGGGGACAGAGCAAAACTGGGATGCACGGCTGACACACCAGAATGTCAGCAATGTGCCCTTGTGGCCAAGAAGGCCAGTGGTCTCCCAGGGTGCATTAAAAAAAGTGTGGCCAGAAGGTCAAGGGGGGGTTATCCTCCCCACCTACTCTGCCCTGGTGAGGCCCCATCTGTAGTATTGTGTCCAGTTCTGGGCTCCCCCGTTCAAGAAAGACAAGGAACTACTGGAGAGAGTCCAGCAGAGGGCTACAAAGACGATCAAGGGACTAGAGAGAAGACAAGACTGTGAGGGGACTTCATCAATGCTTACAAATATCTAAAGGGTGGGTGTCAAGACGACAGGGCCAGACTCTTCTCAGTGGTGCCTGGTGACAGGACAAGGGGCAACGGACATGAACTGGAACACAGGAAGTTCTACCTGAACACGCAGAAAACTTTACTTTGAGGGTAACAAAACACTGGATCAGGCTGCCAAGAGGGGCTGTGGTGTCTCCCTCTCTGGAGATACTCAAAACCCATCTGGACACAGTGCGATTTGCTCTAGATGAACCTGCTTTGGCAGGAGGGCTCGACTAGGTGATCTCCAGGGTTCCCTTCCAACCCCTACCATTCTGTCATTCCGTATCATCCAAGTCTTCGACAAAACACCTCAGGACAAATTAATCCCTTCACTATCAAAGGCATAAACGACTTAGAGCAAGACAGGACAAAAGTTCAAAACAACAAAACTAATGATTTCTGAAGGTCAAGTTATAAACAAAGGTATCTAACTCATGTGAGCAGGGTATGGATATCAGCAATCAAGGACTGAACACCACAGGAACAGTCTGCTTTCTTCTTTCTCTCCTTTTTCCTATTTTCTTTTCCAGCAACACAAGCAAGCAGCTGGAGCTTGCAGGTGGGAGCGGAGAAGGAAAACGCAGATGAGAAGGCAGCGGGACCTTCCCATTTCAGTGACAGACAGTCACTGGGCTGGCTGAGCTGCTCACGGAGTCACAGCTCCAGTACAATTAAACGTGGCACGAGGTGGCTATTAATGCCTTTCCCCAAAGGTCTCACAGTACTTGAAATACTCTCCGCCCTTCTACTCCACTAAGACACGGTGTGGCTACAACTTCATTTTCTGTACCAAACACTGGCAGAACCTGTTCCTGAACACAGCCATAAAATCCTGCAGTTCATTTATGAAAGTACCTGGAGACACCTTCAGCTTTTTCTTTCTGAAAACCCTGAAGCCCAACGCCAAGCCGGCAGTGACACTTGGTGACAGACAACCAGAGAGCCCCTGCCGAGGCCGGGAGCGCTCTCCAGAACTGCCATTTCGGGAGCCACCAGGGAAGTCCTTGAAGGGCTGACTTCAGTATAATCTCTTCAAGAGCTGGCACGGCCGGCCACATCCTGTAAAGTTCACCCTTAACTCGGAAAACGACCAAAGCGCTTCCACCGAGGTGCTAGTACCGCAGGGACCCGCCGTACCGCCGCAAGCCGGGGTGGTCTCCTCCCGACATGCCGAGAGCTGGGGAACAGCGACCGCACGACCGCCCGCAGCTTGTGCCGCGCACCGGGCTCCTCACAGAGCCGCCCGGGCCCAGGCCGGCTCTGCCGCCCGCCTCAGCCCCGACACGCAGCGCGGCTCCTTGCGCGCCTCCAGCCGCGCCGGGAAAAGCCCCGGCCCTAACAGGGACCCCCGGCACCAACGCGCCGGGCTACGGGGAGGCAGCGGTGAACGTTCCCGCCCGGCCGGACCGCGCCGCCGCCCACCGAGCGGCCCCGGGCCCCTTCCCAGCCCCAGGGACGGCGGGAAAAGGGGCGCGGAACGAAACCCCGCACTCACTCTGCCACACCAGGCTCTTCAGCCCCCGCACCGCCGGCGCCATCTTGCTGCCCAGCCCCACCGCCGCGCCACTCCCTTCCGCTCCCCGCCCCGGCCCCGCCGCGCCCTCTTCAGAGCCGGCGGGCGGAGCCGCCCCGAGCCGGGCGGTGGCGGCGGCGGCGTAGGAGGAGTGCGCTGCCCGTTTGTGGGACGGGCTCCCACCAGCCGTGCCAGCCCCTCAGGAGCCGTGCCCCTTTCTCTGCCATGATGCGCTCCGCAATTCCCGCTGGGGAAGCGCCCGCTGACCAGGACTTGTCTCCTGAGGCGGGAGCGTCCTGTTGCTCGGCGGAGGGTGAGCCCGGGACGGCGCGAGCCGCCTCCCGAGCCCCGAGGCGGGCTCCTCGTGCGGTGTGGGGAGCAGCCGGGGGGGCCTCCGCGAAGCCTGCCGTGGGCCCGGCTCCCCTCGGGGGGTAAAATTCCCCTCGTCGCCGTGGCTCCCTCATAAAAGCGGCCCCCAGGTTCACTGTTACCTTCGTGTAAGCCATCGAAGAAAGCGCCGTCGGTCCATAGGAAGATACCATCGCTTGATGCCTAAAATCGTCTGTCAGAAGTTACAGTTAGAAGGCATAGAGGCAGTGTTGTCAAAGGGGAACCAGCAGCTGGTACGAACTGCAAAGAAATGAGAGAAAAATTTCTATTTTCACCACACGAAGCGTGAGGAAGAGTGTTTCCTGGTCGGTGTGGCGGTGTTCCACTGAAGGGCAGCGCGATGAGGGCAACATTCCTGACAGAAAAAAAGATCCTTCTAAGCGGACAAAAATGTGAATATATAAGAAGCTGAACAGCAAATTTCAAATTTACATTGGGCTTAATTACTTTATGAATCTCATCTAAGCAATACAGAAACTGCATCGGTAACGGAAGGGGAGAAACCCCCCCCCACCTGCCTGCCTGAAAGCTGGAAGCTGTGGGACTCACCCCACCATGGCTTTGGTGACAGCTGGCAGGCCGTGGTCCAGCAGGGAGGAGGGCCTCCCTTACGCCAACTCCACCTCCCCTCGTCCCAAGGAGTGAACCTGTGGTGACAGCACCACCACAAAATATTGCTGGTGACAGCGAGCACTGGCCCAAGCTCATCCCCCTGCGGAGGCTGGAACAAAGTTCTGACAAGATGTGCAGTGCAAAAAGTAAATCATTAATATTTATCGGACTGCTTTTCAGCTGCCTAGAAATGGTGAGTGCACCCAACTCATTTGCTTAAAAACTGTTTTAAGGAATGATATTGCACTCTTTGTAAAAGTAAACTAAAAGTTAAGGTACCTGACGCACACTTCTACATTCATATCTTGTTATTATTATACTGCAGTGTTTACAAGTGACTGAAAAATAAAATAGTATGTTAGGACCCAGGGTCTTTTGAAGTCTCTCGACAACTGAAAACTGGATCAATATGCAGATTCAGAGAGGAAAATGAAGAAGTAGTACAATCTGCATATATGCACCCAATCTCATTGATTGCATAAACTTTCCATGCTAAAAGAATCTGAGCAAATACATCTTATCGGCAAAATACGTTTTAAAAATCTAGCAATTTGACTTCTTGTTGTTATTAACATTATTATTTTTATAATTTTCCAAATAAAATATTTCACTTTGTATTTCTAATTTTTTTACATCTTCCTTTTCAGATCTCTTCAGCTGACACAGGTAAATCTTCGAAATGGTATTTTGGTTTTGCCTGTTTATTTTTGAATAGGTCTGAAGAGAAACACACGTTTGATTTTTAACAAGACATTCTATAAGTTCTAGCAGCTTACATTTTTTTTTCAAGTTTGATTGAGCTTTTAAAAATCTATGCTGATATCCTTGTAAATTTTAAACCTCGTTTTTACAAATCCTAAATTCTGTCAGACACTTGCACAAAGATTCTGACAGACCGCTTATGGCTTGACACTAGTGTGAGCCAGGGAGAATACTCAGCTGGACAAATTATGCTGTTCATTATCTACATAATTGTGCTACAGACGGGATCCAAACTGTCCCATATTTGCACCCAATTAATTGTTGTATCTTTTAATAAAACAAAAAAGCCAAACAAAAAAAAACCCACCCACACCCCCAAAAAAACCACCCCAAAACACACCAGCAGCAGCATGATCTCCTAAGCGCAAATATTTCCAACGTTTTACAACATTTTGTACTTTCTTCAATCTCATATTTTCTGCTTAGAGCTCCTATTGCCTTAAATTTGAATACTGACTAGTTTGGAATATGAGGAATGAGAGATTACAAGAAATGCTCTCAGAATTCATTCTCTGGTGATAGTACACCTTCCTGCATATAGTGTACTGTTGTCAAGAGTCTTAAATGCTTAGTCGTTGCAGATATGTTGTTGCAGTATCTGGACACTTACTGTAGCATGTTCCTTTCATGATTTGCAAAACAAGCATTTGATCCTATTTCTGTGTGGAATACTGCTGACACTGGTTTTATATTCACATAAGGATAATACCCAGTATTTTTTTAAATAATTAGACTACAGCATATGGGGGTTTTAGGAAAAATAGCCATCACCACAACATGATATTGTGAGAGTGAGCAGCAGTTATTGCAGTAATTAATGGATTACAAGTGAACAAATAGCACTCAAAATTCAGTGAAATGCCTACCATCTGAAAATTAAGTCATGTAGATGCTTGATAAGGCACTGAAGAATCTTCTTGTCAAGACTTGTCTAAATTCAGGAATGAATACAGTGGTATTTTTTATGATGTGGTTGGTTTTTTTTAGGTTTCTCTATGTCTACATACGATGTGACATCACGAAGCATTTATCTCAGATGGCCCAAGTTTTCAGGAGCCTCTTCTTACAGAGTCACAGCCACAGCTGTGAATACTGTGGGCCATTCATTGCTGGCTCATTTTAGTGATGTTACGCTTAAAGGAACTCTAACTTCATTAATTCCCAATACTATTTATGCTATACAAGCGGAAGCCATTGACAAGAATGGATTTATTCTTGCAGAAACACAGATCATGCAGTCAACAGGTTAGTAAGAGAAACTTTGTGAAGTATAAATTCCATTGACTGGAAAATTATAGGGGACTGGGATTTTACCCTTGTTGTTTCATTGCACCAGTAGGGAATTCCTGTTGAAGCCTTTGCTGGTTCTCCTACGGAGTTCAATATTAGCATGATCAGCTCATTTTCCCCTCTGCTTTCTTTTAATATATATGTTTCCCTGACCTGCTGTGCACAGCTTGCTCAGACTGCAGCTTTCCAATCATCTCCCCTTTCATTACAAATGCAGGTGTGAAGCCATACACATTTTTCAGTACTGACACTGATAAACAGTATTTTTGTTTCATTCACAAAAGGACTTGTAGCATGTAAGTAATTGATGAATATTGAAGAACATAAACATACTTGCCAGGGTCTCTGAAATCCCAAATTGGCTGCCTTGCTATAAATAAATTTGCTTCAAGGCTCATACTTTTGTCCCAAATACTTTTTCATTCCTTTTCTTAATTTTAGGTGGAATACAACTTCATTTTATCTTTTTTTTTCCTCTTCTAGCAAGCCTTTCGCAGCCTTGCAGTATATGGACTTACTTGACATATACTGATTCTAGTTTGAAAATCTTGATTACTGAACATAAATTACTTGTAGCTAAAAAATACACTCTCTGTAGTTACTTTTGTGACTGCAGTACACAAGAGCTCTTTCTGAATGTCCTGCAGCGTAGCATAATAGAAAAGCATTTAATTGCAATATTTGATGTGTCATGTTATTGCATATCAAAGTATATCTGCTTTGAGCAGGCGGTTGGATGAGATGACTTCCCATGGTCCCTTCCAAACTGAATTATTGTAGATAATTAATATTGTAATTATTGTAATTATTAATATTGTAATTATTGTCAATATTTCTATTGACATAGAAATGCCTAAGACTCAGCATCCTATTTCAGCCTGCTTTGTATAACCATCCTCCTTTGTATCTGTTGCTTTGTATAATGCTTTCTATAAACATCCCGTGTGGTTCATTGGCTATACAGCAAGACAAAACAAAGAGAGACCTCTCAGTGCAACCTAAGTTAAATCATGGTGATTTTCAATAGTGAGTGGTGTTTTTGGTTGGTTGGTTGGTTTCTTTTGTGTATGGTTGGACTCTATGATCTCAAAGGTCCCCTCCAACCTTGAAGATTCTGTGATTCTATGATTTCAAGGGTATATATTATTTTTATTGAAAAATGAAGGTTGGTCTAGAATATCTCAAGGCTCTGTGTATGTTGTTGATGTTCATTTAAATTTCATTTAACTTAAATTTAAACATTCATAGAAAACGTAGGCGATTTGTTCTACACTTTGTGAAATGTTTAGAGCACTTAGCGTTTCACAGGGCTGCGTTCCCCAAATTCAATATGTTTGTCATTATTTCCATTTTAGCTCCAGACATACCTGTTATTGACCAAGCTTATTCAAAACTTAGCAACAGTATCACAGTGGAATGGAGAGCGGTACCTGGGGCTACTGGTTATCTGCTGACTGCACAGGATGGAGATTCCTTCGTTGAAACTGTAGTTACAGATTCTCCAGGCACAGTGACGGGACTGAAACCTGCCACCTTGTACAGAATCACTATCAGATCTATAAATTCAGGAGGAAAAAGCCAGCCTTCCCCTTTCAGAAAAGCAAAGACAGGTGGACTTTTAAATTCTTGTTTCAAATTCTGTAATGTTATTATAAGATAAACCATTCATGCAAGCATCCTTTTTTTTTTTTTTTAATTTGAACAGAAAACAAACAGTGTAGCCCAGGCATGCACCAGTACTGAATTATTATATTCTTGTATTTTAAATTGTATTGATCACATTCTCCTTTCAGTTTTCGAGGACTAGAATTCAGCCATCTGACTTAATGAGCAGGACAAGAGTCTGAATTAGGGGTTTACTTTATGACAGTACTGTAAGTTAAATGTTTAACCGGAAGTTTTACTAGAATTTGTATGAATATATGTATTCTATTTCAACAAAATCACATTTTATTTTAAGACAAGACATAACTTGAGGGAATGAAAGAAATTAAGTAACAGCTAAAATTATAAAATAATAAGACACAGTAAAACTTAGAGGACAGGAAATGCAGTGTCTTCTTGGTGATTTTCATTCTTCTACATGCTCAGCCTTTTGTACTTTGGGTATGAGTTACATTCATTTTACGAAACCTGCAGTATCATAACGGATGCAGCAAATCAGTTTCCATATTTATGCTGTCAGTCTTGCATTAATGTATTTTTGTTGTTGCTGAATTTGTCTCCCAGAGTGTGGTGATTGTTGTTTCTGTGTATTCATTTCAAACTTGGCCCTTTCAAACAGTATTGCTTGGTGTTCTTTCTCAACAGTCCTGGCTGCTCCGATTCTGTCTGTCAGTTCTCTGAGTTGTGACTCCATTGCAGTGAGCTGGAAAGCTGTGTACATGGCAGCTGGGTTCTCTGTGTCCCTCATGAGGTCAGATGGTTTGGGCAGAATGCTGAAGGAGAACACCACCAACACCTCCTTGATATTTACAAATCTAGATCCAGGAACTCTCTATACTATCAAGGCATACGCCTGGAATGTCAATGGAATCCCTGGAGATGATTTCACATATAACCAAAGAACAAGTAAGAAATTTTATTTTCTGAAACCAAGTAAACATTAAAAAAAAAAAAAAAAAGATATACCGGGAAGTATTTATGTGTAGGTATGATGGTGTTATGTTTTTCAAACATATGTTGGGTAGATTTTTCAGATCCTGTAATATTTACCCCATCTCGAGGTTCATGACAGCTCAGAAGACAGGGCTATGTTTAATGAATATTACTGAGGCAGAGATACCATTAACTATGGCTAAAGCTGTCCCTAGGACAGGCCTCGGTAAGGATTACACGAGCTTAGACGGATCGGAGGATTTTTCCAACTGTGAATAGCAAATTCTCAAATGGGGCAAGGAGTTTCAACAGAAAGCTTTGTGATGGTGTACAATCAGAACCATTTCTTTAAAAAATTGTCACTTTAATATGAAGGAGGATAAGCTCTGTGCCACAAAAATTGTATTTAGTTTGAAAGTTATGAAAAAGATGAAGTCTGTAGGACATAGGCTAAGTTGTATTTATGTGTTCCAAACTGATATGCCGTAGGTCCTAAGGCACCAGCGGATGTTCAAGTATCTTTTAACAGTGGTGCTTTAAGAGCGATTGTTTCTTGGATGCCAACAGAAGGAGCTCTGACTTACAGCGTGACAGCCTCCAGGGGACTCTTGGAACTGAAGTGTAACACCTCTTCTGCCTCCTGCCTGGTGCCATCGCTCCAGTGCGGCTCTGAGTATTATGTTTCTGTCACGGCATACAACGATGCTGGATCCAGTAAACCTACTGACCCAGTGAGCTTAAAAACTAGTATGTGTCATTGGTCCTTATGTAGCTTATGGCATTTTAACATATATTTCTTTAATTCCAAATGTAAATTAGTTACAATTCATGAGTGGTTCTCAAATACTTCTTTGTGCCTCTAAACTACTTCGTGCATGAACTGTGCCATATACCTTTCTATTTCAGGGATAATAGCCTAAACTTTCTTCATATTTCTGTGAGAAAAACTTGCAAAGGTGTATATGTTCAATAAGCCTCCATTTTCCTCTTAGCAGAAGTAGCTTTCTGAGTGTAAAACTGGTGTAAGGAATAACAGATCTGTGCTACTGTGTCAGGTCTGTTACAAATAGATGGGGAGAAATCTATGAGGAGGCAGCATTAAGGACTGGCCCTGGGCTGAGAACTGTTCTTGACTAGATCTAGGAGTCAGAAATGAGGTCAACAAAACCCAAATCAGCTAAAGTAGCACCACTAGATTAAATTAAGGTACCTCACAGACCACTCTCCTGTAGCAGCTTTGTTGGACAAAAGGTTGCTTGTTCCAGCTGCTTAGCACCACGGACGTGCCAGAGATTGTTGGTTCCTGACCTGTTAGATTAACTGCCCATGTAAGCAAAACCTAAACCATCTTTGTTATTATGTGCTACCTTAAAGATATAACATTATTGACAATTATTTGATGTAACCTGCCTCATTTTGACTTCTCATTGATACGGGTTGGAGATCATCCATGTGAGCAACTCGGTGGCAGACCTAAAGGGATGAGAAAGCCCTTAGGAAGAGACAACTTTTAGGCTGTGGTCTCTAATCTTCTCAGCCAACGTTGCTTCAGCCAAATCATGTATATTCATTCTAATAGCAGCAAGCTAAACGTTTTGAACTGGAAAGAAAGTAAACGTTATTTAAGCAAAAGCCATGGAGTTTGCAGTTTAAGGTGACATTTTGGGATGCCACTAGAAAGGAAACCTGAGCAAAGGACAGCTCTATTCAGACACAGCCAGTGCGTTTCGTACCGGTATGTATAGGGTTTTCACATAAAGGCTTTTGTATGCCAACTGTTATTCAAGCTGCTATTCCAATTGTCATCCCAAGCTACTGTTTGTGAACACAGGCTGTGCCAGTTCCTTTTGAAATACTGCCTGGTGCTACCGTTTGTGTTCACAGGGGCTCCTTAAGCAGATCTCTTTTCTGTAAAAGATGAAGGTAGCATCTGTCTTGTTCTCTAAAAATCATACTCACTTTTCATCTAAACTCAAGTAGCATCCTCTGTAAAGGCAGATAAGTTGTTTTCTTGAGCAAGGCAGAACAAATGTTCAAGCTGCGTAGAATAATTCAATATATTTCTGATTTTCCTTTATTCTCTAAAAGTATAACTTCAATAAAAATATTCTGATTACAATTTTTTCCCTTTCTTTTTTTTTAAATGCTTTTTTTCAGTTCCTTGTGCACCAGTAAATATATCCATTGAAGAGGATGAACCTGGCCACTTGTTGGTATCATGGACTAGTGTCAGTTTTGGTGATTATTATGTGGTTTTTGTGAAGAGTGATGATGGCCTGGAAGTGCACTGCAACACGTCACATACTCAATGCCATTTCCAGTCGGACTGTGGCTTCACTTATTTCATTAGTGTCTTTGCATATAACAAGGCTGGGCAGAGTCCTTTAGGTGATGTATTCAATTACACTACTGGTAAGTAGCAATGTATTCTTGCAAATTCATTTTGGATCCTTTAAGTGTGTTTATGATAGAGCTGATTGGACATTTTTATTGGAAGATAATGGCTTAAGCTTCTATTTTTATTCAGTTTTTGGGCAAAGCACACCAAGGTTGGCAGAGAAAAAGAACCACTTCACATTGCAGTTGAATTTAACTTGTGTAGTCAAATGCAAGAGCAGGCTTACGAACATGAAAATACTTTAACGATTCACAAACATTAGGTAAGGACATATGAATGTACTCCACCTGGAGTACTGTGTCCAGCTCTGGAGCCCACAGCACAGGAAGGAAATGGTCATGATGGAGTGAGTCCACATGAGAGCCACGAAGATGATCAGAGGACTGGAGCACCTCTCTTGTGAAGACAGGCTGAGAGAGTTGAGGATGTCCAGCCTGGAGCAGAGAAGGCTCTGGGGAGACCTTATAGCAGCCTTCCAGCGCTTAAAGGTGGTCTACAGGAAAGATGGAGAGGGTCTCTATCAGGGAGTGTAGCGATAGGACAAGGGGTAATGGTTTTAAACTGAAAGAGGGGAGACTTAGATTAGATATTAGGGAGAAATTCTTTCCTGTGAGGGTGGTGAGACACTGGAATAGGTTGCCCAGAGAAGCTGTGGACGTCCCATCCCTGGAAGTGTTCAAGATCAGGCTGGATGGGGCTTTGAGCAACCTGCTCTAGTGGAGGTGTCCCTGCCCACGGCAGGGGGGCTGGAACTTGATGATTTTTAAGGTCCCTTCCAACCCAAACCGTTCTATGATTCTAATAAGACACAGTCCTGGCATGACATTTGAATTCTAGTACCGTGGTTTTTTCTGTTGCCTTAGGAAGGGTGCACCAAAGTCTTCAACTTCCTCATAGGAAGTTTAGGTTCTGTCACAAGTTCTAAATTCTCACCAGAAGTAAACATTTACTTTTCCAAAGTAGTTTTTCAGTTCTAACTGGCGTTTAATTTTCACATGTAACTAATATAGTATGCACAAACAATCTGATTAAATACTGTTAATGTTAAATATTTCAGCTCCCTGCAGTCCTGAAATTAAAAATATCTCAAAGGAGGCTCGCTCTGTCATCAGTGTGCACTGGCAATCTAACAACGAAGCAGCTACCTATATTGTCACTGCCAGAGGAGAGGCTGGACTTTGGCATTGCACAAGCTCTGGAAATTCCTGTACTCTATTTAATATTCCCTGTGGATCAGCTTTCTCTGTTAGTGCTATAGCAAAATCACCAGCAGGACAGAGCTTACCAAGCTACAGTGTCCCTTTAGAGACAGGTACGTGGGAATTGTATAGAGTGGAAAATATGTAGCAGCATAATATTAAAATAGTTCTATGTCTATATGTTTTGGGGGGTATTTTTAATTACAATGTATGGATATTATACTATTGCTGCTTAAATGTGTATGTATTTTTGTGTGTGTGAGAAGGATCAATTGGCACTTGCCACCTACTGAGAAGCCTTAGTGCAACCAATTATCATCTGGCACAGCTAACTAAAATATAGTAACATAATCCATTAATGTAATGTATGACTTCCTTGTCAGCATTTTGACTTTTAATATTACCGGGAGAGGCTGTGTGGTGATGGCCATGGCAACAAATAGCGTGAAGAACAGATTAACGCACATCCTGCCCACCATTCCTGCTGTTAATTTGCTAACAGAGTTTTCGGCTATGTCACTGACCCAGATAACCCCCAAGCACAGTTCAGAGATTAATGATTACTAGGATCTGTTTTTAACAGGCAGTTTGGCTGCAGTCATTTTATGTTGTAGAGGAAGAGACTTTAAACAGAGACAGAGCTGGACTAAGCTATATATGACTTGAGGGACAGAGGTGGACCTCGCTTAATAAAATTGCAGAAGTACCCTGATACTCTGGTGACAAACTTTAATAATTTTTAGTATCTTGGTGAACAATCATCTTATAATAATTCCAGGGTTATAACTCACTGTTACAGACAAATTGATGTTATATTGACATTTTGTTTATTAGGAGCTTGACAGAATAGTCAAGTATTTTTCAGCAAGCTAATGTTTGCCTGAAAAGTATGCACATCTTCATTCCTTTGCACTCAATCATGTACTATTCTACTTGCAACCCCCCAAAATACCTTCTATTTTCCAAGTACAAAACAGAATTGACTTCTCCATTTTTTGTTCTTTTTAAGCTCCTTGTTGCCCTGATGAGCTGATGCTAACTCAAGTGACACAGTCTGTAACAAATATCAGCTGGTCTGTTGGGATGGGTGCACAGACATACATAATGACCCTGGAGTCTCCAAAAGGACAGGCAAAGTGTCACACTCTTCAAAACTACTGTCTCCTGGGATGCATCACATGTAGCACCAACTACACAGTATCTCTGAAAGCAATCAGTGAAACGGGTTTGACTTCCAGTTGCACATATCAAGGATATTCTTCCAGTACGTATTGTAAATGCAGTTGGGAAGAAAAGAGCCAATATATAACGTCCTTTATGTAGTGTTCCTCTCATACAAATAGTGCAGCTGAAATTCAATAGATAATACAGTTGTGTTCCCTCTCTTAAATAAATGCACTTTGGGTTATTTGCACATGTCATTTAAATCCTGTTCTTGTAACAGCCATCACATGACCATATAAAGAAGTTCTGATAACAGTGCTCCAGAACCAGTTTTTTAATTTAAATGGTGCTGTGGCATGATGAAATTTTAGAGACCACAAAAGGATTCTGGGCACTCTAGGGCAGCCCTGGTGGCTCTGTAGTCAGGAGAGAGCAACAATATTCCAGCATGTAAAACAGTGGTGGAATTCCAGCTCCAAATGACAAGTCTAATAAAACATTTTCTTTCCTACTTCAGTTCAAGAATTATTTTGGCTTTCTGTGAAATAATAATTTCTCATTGAAATGCTATTATCTAGTGTGGTAGTCATCATATAATCTGGTTTAAAATGCGCTGTAAGAATGCATGATCTGTTGTGGGTTCACAAAATTTGCTTATTAATGTTTCTTATTTTATTAGGTGCTTGTTGCCCTTCTGGGGTGAAGCTCTTTAGACTCAGCAATAACGGAATCAGAGTGTACTGGCGAGCTTCTGATGAGAGGATAAACTATAACACTGATTTACATGGCTCAAAAGGCAATTTCACCTGTAGCCCCAGCTCAGGTCTAAGTCACTGCGATATCACCGAGATACCTTGTGGGGATGTCTACACAGTGGTAGTATCTCCAGTTACTGATAAAGGGACGAAGCTCACATTTTGTCCTAAAAGAATATATTCAGGTAAATTTTCAATATCTTTGAATGATGTATTTTTCTCCATGTGTGCTAGATGGTTAAATGCAATCCAAAGTTATGCAAGTAAAGGTGGCATGGAATAGAACTTTCCTATTCTAGTGTTGACTCCGGAGTAAACTCTGTGGGTGCTATCTTGCAATATCTGTGACGGGAACTTCACAGGAGCATTTTGGGATGGGGCATACTCATCTACACAGGTGACTGACTCTAACTGGATCACCCATAACCTGGTGAATACAGAGAAGTTAATTTTTAGCTGGAAGGTTAGGGGTGGTTAGCATACAGAAGCAAATAAATAAGGATTTTAAATTGTTTTGTTTTCTAATTTATTTTATAGGATTATTGTTTTTGAATAAAGAAACAAATCAAGAACTTCAATGAGCCATTCCTAAACACAGTTTTTAAGTAAATGTTGTTTAAAGGGGTAGTAATTTCCTTGAGATTCCTTTCCTAGGGCATAAATTTCATCCATTATAATAACTACTGCTACCTGATGGGATTGCACAGTTGTATAGCATGGACTACATTCTACAGATTACTGATGTTTTCTGGTTTACAACCTGACAGTTAACGTTGATACTACTCTTTCATGTCGTTTCAGTAACCTGTTCTGGAAGCTCTGTTGGAATGGGTAAGACTACACAGTACATTCATTCCAAATCAGGGAAGTTTGTAAAACACGTTAGCATCATGTAACTCCAAATAAGATGCAAATAATATTTGCAAGTAATTTGCAAATAGTATTTGATAGGCTGGGCCTGTGTTAGTGTTATGTAGGTTTGTCTCACCCCCCCCCCATCATATAATGTATAATTTTTTTAAAAAATTTTAAATGTATTGAGGCCTGTATACCACCATACATTCTACACTGTCACAACATTTGCTATTTATCTGATAGCACGTAATGGAAGTCAAGCTTATCTTTTATAGATTTGCCATATCCCATTACAAATTAATCTAGGTTGCACTTCTTATTTTTTATTTAAAAAAAAAAAAAAAATAAAAAAAGCATGGCTTGCCTCAACCTATGCTTATCTCTTCTGGGATTTCAACAGGATAGACTTATGCTTTATTTGCCTATGTAAAGTGCTAGAAACAACTTCGAAAGCAGCCACTGAAATGAACATTTCTCAAGACAGTTGCTTTTCCATAACTAAAATTCCCTTAATTTCTGAATTCTGTTACAGTGATTTATAGAGGAAAGAGCAATGCAGAACAACATGTCTAGGTGAAAATTCTGTTTCAGATAAGGCGGTAAGTTATAATTCAGATTAGAATGTATTAATCAAACTTCTCCTGCTGCTTTGTGATTGGAGGGATAAGCTTCACCAGTCTTGTATATCCTAAATACAACTGTTTTGTTAAAATCCATTGTATTTACCTCAGAAACTTCATGTTGTCTGCTCCTACTATCAATACTGACTTCTCTCCTCCATTTACAGTAAAACCCTTTTTCACTTCATTCAGTCTTTTCTGATACTGTCCTATAGTTCCCCAGAAAAGCCCTCAAAATCCAAACAGATCAAGGTACTCTTCAGCACTCATTTACTTTCTCTCTCTGCTAGCTAAAATTGCTCATTCTCCAACAAAAGTACTGGTGTTCTGGACTATTTATTGTCCTTGTCTCAAAAGGATGGCAAGCAGTCACTATAGCCCCCCTCAGTTAGAAGTAGCTTGAGGCTTAATCAAATGTTCTGAAGTTATTTCATTTTAATTTAAATTTCAAAAAAATTTTCTTCCTTTACAGTTTTGAGAGGTGACTCATGAGTGTAAGCAAGCGTCCTCTTCGCATAAACTGACTGGTTTTGCTTTGTGACTAATGAAGGGCTGACAGTTACTACTAAAATTTTTATTTCCCGTTTTTTGGAAAAGGCAGAATCTTTTCTCATACTACACAGTGGTTACTTTTTCAGCCAACATGGAAAGCAAAGTTCAAGTTCCAAGGGTTCTACAGACACAAAACAATTACTCCAAGATACCTTACAAAAACAATCTTCAGCAGCTTATGTATAAAGGTTACCCAAAGGCAACAGGGTTTTTAACACTATTTTCAGCTTATAGAAATAGATTCTGAAAGTCTGAAAGGCATTCTGAAAGTTTCCTGTCTTCTCAGGACACAGTTGTACTGGGTGTCTCAGTCACTGCTGCTTAAAATAATCTTGCACAAAATAATCTCAGGGGAATCTCACTTCAGTACATTGACTGTAGATGGCCCAAGAACTACATGTTGCTTCTTAGAACGTGATCTGCATTTATTCAGTGTCAAACAAGTCTTTCTTTAGGGAATATTATTTAAAACTGTCCTGCATAACTTAGTAAAAAGCTTGTTTTATTCCTCATTTGAAAAAAAAAAAGTAAGAATGTAAAAATAAGTATCGTTCACAACTTTCTTCCTGAGGGTTTTATTTAAATATTTTTTCTTTGCAGTCACTGTTGTCAAACAATGTCACCAAAGCCTAAGTGTTTAACCGGATGGCTAGTAACTGGATTTTCAGAGGTCTAAAGCAATCAGTTTATCTTGGAATCCAATTCAAGCCACAGCTTTCTTGTTTTCATATAAACAATTCCATGCTCTTACGTGCTGCTACAACCTTTAGAATGCTGTAGTACTATTTTCATCAACTCCTCTTATTTTCATGATTGAAAACAAAAAGTGTAATTGAACAGAATGTATTATTTGCATGTCTGTTAAAAAAAAAAAAATAAAAGGAAAAGAAAAGAAAAATGCTGAAGAGGAGTTAAGATTCCAAAGAAAATTACATTGATTCAGTTCAAAGAAATTAGTTAGAAGATGGACAGTTTACCAAACAGGGAGGAAAAGCAACACAACCAGAGCCAGATCCACTCCTGCTATGGCTGTGTATATGTTGCAGGCGTTGTTACTTACACATTAGACATTGTCTAATGATACTTAACACTGCTGATCTGTGAAACATCACTGGCGCTTCCTGAGGTGATGAAAAAGCTTTAGTCAGGATTAGTTTTGGATTCTCTCCAGATTGAGGCAAATATTTGTGGTTTTTTTTTTATGGGTCACACTGGCTTGTTTTAAGATCACAGGAAAGGACAATGAGATGTAGTGTTTCCATAGATGTAGTTTCTATACTGTTTACTAGTATGAAGCTCTGGTCCTTCATGAAGCAAAAAAAGCAAGCAACCAAATAAACCCAAATAAACGCCAAAATAACAAAAACCCCCACCAAGCCCCCAACCAATCAACGTCCCCCTCCAACCAAACCAACCCTCCAGACCTCAAGAAGCACGCAGAGGTAGGCAGCATATTGGTATGCCACGTAAAATGAATGCTTTCAGAACAGTATCTGTGAAATCGCTTATACTAACAAATTAGGTGATTAAAAACACATGATGGATGCCTTCATTAATGCTTACTTAATAAAAAATGTCAACTGAAGGAATAATTTTAAAGATGTATTAGTTGCAATTACACAGATGAACACTTGCCAACAAAATCTGTACATACTGTAACAAATAAAAATTATTTGTAATTGTATTTGACACAGAAGTAATAGCTCAAAAATTTGATAGGCTCTTTTCAGTCCAGTAAAAAAACTGGGAAAAATCTATCCTTCAGTTGGTTTCAGATTTGACCCCAAATTGCTGAGACTGAAGAAGTGTTCTCCCACATCCAACTATTGTTGGGGAAAATAAATAAATAAATTCAATTTAAAAAAAATCCAAAAACTACATTGCCAAACCTCAAGTGGCATTTAAATGCTGGTTTACCCTGCTTAATAGCTGGGGGACGTCTCCCATATGTAAAGTTAGATGCACTTCATAGCAGTGCAGAAAGGGCCTAAACAGCTACCAAAGCCAGTAGAAGTCACCTATTTCTTTCAGGTTCCCCTTAAGAGATCCCATCTTTGAGTCAGTACAGTAATGAGTCAGCTGTGAATACTAGAAGTATGAGCTCATTCGTGTTTCTTCATCAAGATATAAATGAAAGTATAAAAAAACCATGGGTATGGATGGTGTTCTAAGTACCCCACAATGTCGTGAGATAAATTGCCCTGCCATTCAGGTCACCTTTTTCAATACAGATAGACAATAAAAATACCACTCTTATTTAAAAGTCAGATTCATACAAGTCCTTTTGTACTAATCACCTGCAGTTACGTGACAGTAGGTAGATCTCTGGGGCCAAAGCCTTCACCCTGCCTCAAAAGAATGCCAGTTTGCTACTTCTTAAGATCTGAAATATTGCTAAATTAATTGGGTAACTTCAAAAGAAAGAGAGTGGAAACAAAGTAGAGGTGTATTTCTCAAATTAGTAGCATTATTAGTCCAAATAAGTACTTACTGTTGGAGCCACAGGAAATTTCAAATACAGATTGGGCTTCAAGAGGAGTGCCAGTCCCAGCTGGGTAACTAGGGACACCTGGCATACTGTGCAGCTGCAGGTTCCTAGGGCTTGCTCGGTGCGCTTTTACCCCAAGAACTGAAAAGTAACCACACAGGCTCCATCAGCAGAAGCTCTGCAGCCATACCTCCTGGGAAAACTCTTACAATACCGCCAATTAAAATTAGCAGAATTTTTCTTCTAATGACCACAGGCCAAATGCCTGCTGCAGCTGCACTGCTAGAACTGCATCGGGCTCGTCTGCACTGGAGACTCCACTCATCTTACCATTTCTCATCCAAACTGCTTTGTAGTTGTGTGGATCTGTTCCTTCTGATCACAAGGAAGGTCACATGAAATAAAATGGCATCAGGAAGAAAAAAAAGGAATTAAAGTCCCTGGATCCAAACCCAAGAGCTGCAAAATACTAAATCCCTGTAACTTAAGATGGGGTGTCTTGGTTTAAATGGTTTTCATGCGTCTTGGTCAGCCATGAATGCCGTGCGGTCCATTCATTACACTGCCAGCTCAAGTACATAAGTACTTGCTAGCTCAAGTACATAACATGGATCAAATTAAATCCAGAAATCAGAAAGGACTATTTATTGAAAAATAAAAGCAAAGCCCTCAAATTATGGCACTAGTAAGAGAGACTGGCACAGGCCAGTCTTTGCACAAGCAAAGTATCAAAATGTTCACTATCATCATTGCAATAAGGCAGCTCTTTCCACTTTCAGGCAAAAGATATACCTCAAATACCTGGATTTTGCCTGGAAATAAGCCATTTTTTCACTGTATTTCCCACAACGGCAGAGGAAGGAGTCCTAAAGGAACAACTGGAAATCAGTAACCCATTTTCCCTGACAGTCCACTGGCCTTGCAGCCTCTCTGCCCAAGAATATACTTGTTTCAGAAACTCATACACTGAAGGTTAAAAACTAATGAGACCAAAAGAAGCCTCCTAGTGGCAAATAAGGTAAAGTTGTCCTCGTTGTTTCAACAGAATCCATGCAGTCCCCTGGCAGGCTGCAAAGGCCATTCTAATCATCTACTAGCCAAGGTATTTCTTAAATGGCCAATACAGGACTTCTCCTCCCATGCTAAATGAGAGCTCAGTGTTACAGTTGATGTTCTTCCTATTTTTGGGCTACTGCATTTGTTTGTTGGCTGTATCTTCCTTATAAAGTACTTACTACATCAAATCCTGTATTCACACAAAGCATCCCTTAGTCTGCAAATGAAATGTAGAGGAACCCAAACACCCTTCAACTGGCAATGAACATGCAGGGAAAAGCTGACACCCAATACAAAGGAATTAATTGAGAGTTTATTCCAGATGGTTCTCCTCACTTAGTATACAAGTCATCAGAATAACCTATCAAATAGACTTGGACTTTAATGATACGATTTTTTTCTATAATGCATTTTGGTTTTTGCTTCTAACAACCTGTTTAAAAAAAAAATCTGCCAGATGAAATGTTCAGCACAAACTGCAATCCTTACTATTTGTAGAAAATATGACTTAAAAAAGGACACTATCAGGTAATTCTTATTTTAAATGTTTACACTTATAAAAATGCTTTGGAAGCTTGAAACTGAAATCCTTTGTAATAATTTTCTTCTTCCTACCTCCCTCTTCCCATCTTAAATGCCTTTATTAGCCCAGTATTACCATAAATGACAGAGTGCAGCTGCTGATTAAAAACATTAAAAGACCGCAAAAGGATAAACTGTGGTTTTAAAAAAAAAAAAAAAAAAGGAAGCTTACATGGGTATTTGTTTTCAAACAAATCAAATGCATAGATGGCTACGGTACTCATCCGTCAACCTTTACAGTGTCCGCTTGAGGTAGCCTTTCTAAAGAATTACTAAACAAGCCCCAACATAATCTAAATCTTTGCATCAAAACCACTATTTCCTTGAAAGTCCACTCTCAATTTTAACACCAGTGGTGATCAACAACATTATACATTTTAAGCTTTTGAAAAAACAGCAGGTACAGTGGACATAAACGTTAGTTCTAAATCTGCAGCCCTCAATGTACATCGTACGCACATAAATATCTCAGCTATAATACACATTCAGGATCCATCCCTAAAAGCCATACCGTTATGTAAAGCACAGCCATGCTAACTTCAGGATACAAACCATAATTCCACGTCTACAAACCGAAAGTAGAATTAGTGGCAGTTTATTGCCTCATACAAATTTAACCAACATGGCAACCATGCCAAAGGAATTAAAACATTTTCAGGACATATGTACAGACTGTACATTTCAGAAACATCTGAACAATAAAAATGCAAGAACAATCTCTGCATTACGAATTAAACTAAACAAATGGTTTGAAACCGTCAATGCATTGAATGGGTTTACAAAGGCACTTCCCTACCCAAAATAGGAAATGACAATCTGCAGCCTAGAGGGAGGTTGGAGAAGAGTGCTCATCAACTACTGCACAATCTCAACTTTAAGAAAAAATAAGCAGGATTTAATCAAACATTTATAGGATTCAATGTGATCCACTTCTGAAAGAGTTCACACAGTCTCATCTTTGTTTTTCTGTAGCTTTTCCTGGCTCTCCCGTTCCGGGCTTTGGCTCCTCCGACGGTCGTGTTTGTCCGAATGGTCCTTGCTGTCGCTGTGATCGTGTTTGTGGGAACGGTCTTTGCTCCTGCTACGCTTTCGAGATTTTTCTTTGCTGGGACTCTGGTCTCGTTTTCTGGACTTCTCAACGCTATCTGTTCTTCCTCTGCTTCTGCTTCTACTTCGTTTATTTGACTTCTCTTTACTTTCATTTTTATGTTTACTTGATTTCTCTTTGCTCCTGCTTCTGCTACGCTTACCTGTATTCTTGCTTCGGCTCCTACTCCTATGCTTTCTTTCCCTGCTTCGGCTTCTGCTATGTTTTCTCTCTTTTTTGGAATCCCTCTTGTCATCCCGGTGTTTCTTGTCATCCTTATCATCCTTGTGTCTCCTCTCTTCTGTGTCACCCTTACTTTTCCTTTCTTTTGATCTTTCTCTAGATCGATCTTTTTCCCTCTCGCTGCCTCTTTCCTTATCATAATCTCTCTCTTTTTTCCGGCTCCGTTCATTTTCTTTCTCTCGGTCTCTGTCCCTGTCTCTTCTATCTGCCTTCCTGTCACGACTTCGACTACGGCTTCTGTATCTGTCCCTGCTTCTGCTTCGCCTCCGCTCCAGTGTGCGATCGGAGCTTCGAGATCTCCGCCTTTCTTTTTCTCTCTCCTTAGCTTCTCGTTCTAACCTCTGCCGTTCTCTTTCTCTTTCTAGTTCTCTATCAAAACTAGATGATCCGTGGCCTTCCCGATGATGACTTCTGCTTCTGGATCTTCTGGGAGACCTCCTGGGACTGAGGGATCGCCTTGGAGACCTTTTAAAAGAAAAGATATTCAATATGAAACATAACCTCTTAAAATTAAAGCACCCTCTATACTTTCCAATTTACACTTGATGCATACAGTCTAAACTTGATCTTAAATACCAGGTATCATCTTATTATTTTAATCCATTAGTATCCATAAGCTGTTTTCCTTGTTGCCTTAAAACCTCAGTGAAAAGACAACATGTTTCTGGCAATAAGTGGTTCAATACTGAACTTATAACATTCATTTTCAAAATAACGTGTATATGACCTTGAGCGTCTACGTTCCACGTGCCGGTCTATTTCTTCCATTCCCTCCTTGCCATCTTTCTTGATTTTTCTAGGTCTGCTTTTAATTTGCTGGTCAATGGCTTTCTGGACTGGCACAGGAATTCTTGGAAACAACGTGGAAAACCATTCAAGCTTAGTAAGGAAGGAACGGAGCATCTCCCCGATGGTCATAACGCAGCCCCCACCTGCCTTCACATCCAGGTCCTACAAAATACAAGCAAAAAATATCCTGATGGTCAAAAATATTCTTTGCTGATTTTCAAAAAAAAAAAAATGCTGCTACATTACTGCTCTCTTGAAGTCTCATGATTATGAAAGTTTACTTGTCTCATATTCTAATACATTTCCTTAGAAAAATTCAAACTCTGCGCCCTTTGGATTTGGGAGTATGTTACAGACAGGGAATGGGACTTAATATCTATGCATGCAGGCACATACTAATCCTGCAGCCATCTGGATGGTAAGGGACTGTCCATGAAGAGATTAACGTGAAATCCCCTTACACAGTCTGGTTATATGGTATGATCTTGTATTTTATTTAAATGCCACAAAGTTGAAGAGTCCTCTCAAACTACATTTAATTCTCCATTTTGTGGATGTACAACTGCGTACCATCATGCCCAACCCTGTGGCCTAAATCATTTAAGAACTACGTCATCACCTATCTAAAAATGATCATAGAAAAACCTCTAGTACAAAATGGCATCCTAACAGAATTGGAAGCAATAGCAAACCAACTGCCATGAAGCAGTGAGGTTTCTAATTTAGAAATATGTAAAAAAATAAATAAATGAACAAATAATTGGAAACGCATAATCCATGATGACCATTGTCTCTGAAAAGGGTCATTACCGCATGAAGGCCTTCTTGCTATGCCCTCTCACAGCTCAGGACATGTTAGTCAGCTATTGTCAGTCCCAAACCTATAGTGCAAGCACACAAGGAAAGTGAGATTTGTTATCTAAACAGGAAGAGAAAATCTAAATGTAAAACTGCTTGCACTCACACACATTTAAGTGTTCAGATATACAGTTTTTCCAAATATAATCGCTGCAGAGATCTAAAGAAGAAAAAAAGGAGTTAAACGTAGCACCTGGAGAGTACGTACAGTTAAACAAAATAAACATAAGAAGCATT